AAGTCAGGTTATAAAGTCTTGAAGAGTAAATGGTGGCGGGGGAGAACCTAGGTGATTCTTTTAGGGAGTTCGACTATAGAGAGAAGAAGAAAGATAGGAAAGTGGCTTAAAAGGGAAGTGGGCTATAAACATGTTTAAAAAATACCTTTTAAGAGAGAGAAACCTGTGGATATTTGTACAGTGACAGGCAATCTAAGAACGAGGATAGTGGCAGTGGGGAGTTAGTTTTCAGTCTGCTGTGGGTTTGGTTCTTTTGAATCAGGGTCTCTGTGGACCTCCAAAACTGACTCCGTAACTAGTGATAGCACTAAAGCACTGTCACCCCAGTGGGGGCACATGGGGATGGCAAGATCATTACCTTATCTTCTGTAACTGCAAACATAGCTGCAGACTCACCCTGGGCTACTGCTCTGTGATAAACGGTCTCTAAGTCTGAATGGTAACATCATAGCTAACCTGTCAGTAAGTAACGATGAGGTGTGATGTCCCTAAAACCAAGAGAACTCACTGCTGGTGAGAAAAGCTTTTGGTACAATTCTTTTGGAAGATAATAGAGCATGTTTTAAGATCCTCACGCATTGTCACATTACTTGTCAATAATGTCATTTCTGAGAGTTTGGATGTAGAAACAAAAGCACAAAGATGTTCACTGCAGCACTGTTTATAATAAGGAAAAACGAATTAAAGTGTTCACATGTATAGAAATGTCTAGTATACGCACTTGATGGAAGATAATATGGTGGCTTAAAATGTAACTTAGAGGGATAATTTTTGTAACATGATATCCATGCAGTGTTAAGTGTAGGATCAAAATTCTACAATATCAACACAGATAGAAAAAACACAGAAAGAAAAAAAAGAACTACTACACTTTGCAACAGCATGGATGGAACTAGAGAGCATTATGATAAGCGAAATAAGCTATGGGGCAAAAGACAAATACCACATGATCTCACCTAAAAGCAGAACCTAACCGACAAAACAAAGGTGCAAGGAAAATAAGACCAGCAACACTGAAAGAAAAAGAAACCAACAGAGACAAGAGGGAAGGAGGGGGGGTTGGGGGGGAGAAGTAAGGGAAGGGGCAAGTCAAGGAACATATAGTAAGGACTCATGGACAAAGCCATAGTGGGGAAGGATTGAGGGAGGGAGAGGGGGCAGGGGGCAGGGGAAGTGGTGGGGGGGAGGCAGAGACAAATGTATTTGGAAAAATAAATTAATTTAAAAAATTCTACAATATCAACACAACTGTGTAAATAAGCCAACAATATAGAAAAGACTAAAATATCTTCAATAGCCAGTGATTTTGTTTGCTTGGCCATTACTTTGATAATGAAAAGACACTAAACACAGAAAGATGGCTATAGCTCTTCACTGGTTAGGAATGGTCAATGACAACCAATGCTATTTTTTTTTCTGTTTACTTTTCATATTGTTCTCTGGGGTTTTGGTAGAACACAAATTATCCATAAAGAAATGCAGGTGTTTTCCTGAAAATGCATCAAATGAAACTCTATATAACCCATGAGGCAAGCATCTTCAGAATGTTTTTATTCTGCTCAACATCATTTTTACTGTACAAACAATATACTCATTTGGAAAATACAGAAAAATTGTAAAGTCAGAGAACTACAGAGAAGCAAAGAAAAATCTCACTTAATTCTTCTTTTCAGATAATAGATGTTGAAATTTTATGGTAATAGGGAACAGATTTTGATGGGAAGAACAGCTATGTTTATATTAATCAAGTATATTTAACTCTGACATAAAACTGATGTTACATTTCACCCCTCAACAAAACCAAGTTGTCCATAGACAGTGCAGGTTTAAGGGTGATCAACAGTATTGAGTGCCATCTATGTGGGGTGGGGTGAGGTGGGCCTACACAGTAGACCTGCCCTCACTGACCTTCAAATTGAGAAGGCAACTTTGTAGCTATTGTTGAGAGTGTATCTTATCAGTAGATCAGAGAAATGCTATTCCCCAAATATGAGTAGACTTCAGCGCAAAGCCTAGACATGGTGCCAGAAGATGAGATGTGCTGCTCCCTGCATTCCTCTTCATTGCAGAGGCACAGGGCCATCTTCTATACATCACCTCTGAATCTCTAGCAAACCACCAGCCTGGAATTTAGCAGATGCTCAATAAACATTTGTGGAAATACACTAAAGGCCAGGGTCAAATTTCTACCCTATTACTACTTGGCTTCAACTCCTGTTTTCAAACTAATGATTTTCCCATTTCAATCACAAACCCTGTCTTCCCTCCCGAACTGCAGAGCCAGCTAACTGGCTGCCTCATGGACTTTTCCACTTGGATGTTCCATAGCTACACTGTCTGTCTAGCAAAATACTAGAGGTCTCTTCCCACTACTTTGTCTCACTCCTCCCTATTTTATTCATTTGCTCAGCAAATCCTGCTGACTTTAGTTCAAATGTATCCCAAATCCATCCTGCCATCTCTCCATTCCCACAACTGCTGTGTGAACCAGTTCAGACCCTCATTTTATCTTACCTGGAAATGAAATCCATCTCCTAACTGGTCTCTCTGTCTCCAGTCTTCCTACTTCAAAAGATCATCTGTGTGGCCATAACCACACAGTATCTAAACCCAGGTATAGTTATACCACTTCCCTCCTTTAAAACAGTCAAAAATTCCCTATTGCTCAAGAATCCATGTTCTTAGACAGCTCAGAAGGCCTCTCACAGTCTGGCTCTAGCTTCCCTTTCTGGTCTTGTCTCTTATAAAACTAACCTCTTGCCCCAAACAGGCCCATATAAAATTCCCCACACCTCAATTAAGACCATACCTTCTCCTTTTACATAGATTGCTCTAGAATATTCTCCCCAGTTTCCTATTGATGGTGCTCCTTCACCTGAGAGTTCTTTCCCTGTATTCAGAGTTCAACCTATTTGTCACATCCTCTAAGAAGCCTTCCTGGAGCTTCCTAGGTAGCAGCAACCACCCTTTGGACCTTGCTTTCAAAGTACTTAGTCCATACATCTATTATAGTACTCACCTTGACTAGGTTATTTGTTTTGTTGTTGTTGATACTTTCAGAGCTTAATATGGTACCTGATGCATAGCAGCGGCTATATCAATGTTTGGTCTAAGAATGGACACCTATGTAGAATGTGCAGGGTCTAAGGTGCCACATGCCCTCACTTGTACTCTGTGCATGCAGCCCCCGTCCCTGGGTCCTGCCGATGGCCTCAGCCTACCTCACACCCATCTTCTGTGCAGTGGGCAGGGCAGGCTTCACTTTGTGAAAGAATCCCCTTGGGTGCTGGTTTCACAGGCATATTTACCCCACCTCTCTCTAAAAGGTTGATTTAGTTGTGATCAATGCATGCTGGGTGATTTAGATTTGTTCACAGAAGCTCAAGGGTGAGGATTGAAACTGAAGCTGAGGGAACCTTGTCTGTAGGAAGGGCTTGGGAATGGAGCTCATTTATATTCTGGGATTTAAGTGAGAAAAGACAGGACTCTTCACTGGACTTAAGTCTGTGGATGGGTCCATGCTGAGCACAAAGACAAATGAAAGGTATTTTCTAAGTTGTACTCAGCTTTTAGGATCTAGTTTAGATTTCTAAATTATGGGACATCTGAAAGCCTGCTGCTCAGCTCCTCATAACTAGGCCAGATTCTCCTCCCGTAAATCCAGGGACATCCCCAACAACGCTTTCCACTGAACGGGTTGTGGTGGATGGGAAAGTTTGTCGTCACCACCCCCCACCCTGCTGCCCCCCGCCCCCCCGCCCCCCGCCCCACCCCGCGCCCGATTAGACCGTAAGCTGGGCAAGGGCCGGGCTTGTGTTTATTTGTTCCAGTCTTCTCAAAACTCAGTCGATTATCTGGCTTCTAGTAGATGTTTCAGAAATAGTTGTTTAATTAAATTAAATGAAATTGTCCTCATTTTCTACCCCAGGAGACCAAGCCATTCAGTGTGTCTGCAGAATGAGCACTTAATTATTTAGAGACAAGTAATTTTAAACCATTTTCATCACATGGCACACGCTGACAAATTACTAAAATTCTGAGGTACATCAAAAAAAAATATATATATTTGCCGATCTGACAAAAAATAGGTATAATTTTTATTCATCCTTACCGGGCGGCTATTATGTTGGCTGTTGTCATTTTTTCTTTTTTAATTTGACAATCTAAAGGAAAAGAGGTCAGTGCCTTAGACTAAATAGTCAGCTATTGCATGTTTTAAAAATTCTTGCATCATAACGGTGGAAAATCGCTGCTATAGACTGCAAGAATGGACTTGTTGAGGACTTGCAGAGGCACGTGGAAGGGAGCTCTGCTAGTCCTTCCATCCCCATTATTGGGCAGATTCCCTGCGGCCTGTGGCCCCAGTGCAAGAGAAGCGAGGAGAAGCAATGGGATGAAACTCACAGGGGATTCACAAAGGCTTCGTGGAGAAGTGACGTGAGGATCGTGGAATCTGTAAGAGGAAGGGATGCGGGGAAGGAGCCAGTGCGATGAAAGGCTGAGAGGAGGGAAAGCGTAGGGTACGATCTGGAGCGAAAAAAGCAGAAAACATGCTGGGAGACAGCGGCTGAAAGCGGCTCCCACTTGGAGCGGGCCAAAAAGCGAAGACAGGGGTCCTGCTCTTTTCCGAGGGCCCGGCGGCCCGGCGGCCCGGCGGCCCGGGTGCGGAGAGAGGGCGAAGGGCGCCCCTCCTCCCACCCCACACGGACCGGTTCGGTGTCTTTGGCCTGGGTGGATGCTGGCGCCCTCCCCCGCCCACCGAGGGCTGGACCCACACCAGGGCCCCAGTCCCCACCCCGCCGCTCGTGTCCGCCCAGCCCTGGGTGAAGAGTTGGGGACTCGGGGTGGGATGAGTAAATCGTTGGCTGCGGGCCGCGCGGCGGGGCGGGAGCGCGCCAAGCCCTAGTGGTGCTCATTCGGCCTAGAGGCCCGGGGTCGTGCCCCGGCCGGGCGGGGCCGCACCGAGGGCGATAAAAGGGCCGCAGGGAGCCTGGCCGCCGTCTCCACTCCGGGCTGCAGCGCTCCTCGCGGGTGAGCGGGCGGCACTGGGGAGGGGGGACCCAGGACCTCCGGGCGGCGGGATGGCAGCGGCGGCGTGCGCATCCCCAACCAGGCCCAGCCTGACCTCCATCTCGTCCGGGGAACTGCGCAGCCTGTGGACGTGCGACTGCGAGATGGCCTTACTACCGGTGGCCCAGCTGCTGCGCCTGCTGCCCGCCGCCCTCCAGCTGCGCGGCGACCAGCTCACGGTGCTCGGGCCCGAAGAGCCAGCGGCCGCGCTCGGGGGCTTCAACGTCTTCGGCGACGGCCTCGTGCGCCTGGACGGCCAGCTCTGCCGCCTCAGTCGCTACATCAAGAGGTGAGTGCGCCTCCGCCCCCCGCCGCCCCGCGCCGCGGGGTCCCGGGAGTCCCCGCTGCCCTCCCCTCCTTGTTGCCGCACGTCTAGAGCATTCTCATTGCTGACGTCACCGGGGCCGCAAGCTCTCCCTCTTGGGCTTTTTTTTGCCCTTCCCCTTGATCTTTGCAGCTGCGCTAGAGGTCGCCCATGGGGGCATGTTGTGGTGGTGGTCGGGGGGGGGGGGCAGTTGGAGAGGAGCGTAGGGTGGGGAGCGCGTCACTGGCGGGTGATTTTCCCTTTCTGGGTCCTTAACTGGGTCAGATGAGCTCAGGCTGGGGACACACCCCTCGGGGCTGTTTACTGAGAACGCACATCCTGCCTTTAGATTGGGGGCGGGGGTGGATTGGGGGGAGAAGGCTCAATCTTGTGCACCAGGAGCTTTATCCATAGAGGAGACCCAGCGGAGAAGCGTGTAAAAATTCAAAGTGTCCCACTTTGGCCTCCCTTAGTGTTTCAAATAAATGAGTAAATAAACCACAGCTGAGAAGGGAACAAAAGCCCTATGTAGTCCAAAGCAGGGTCCTGTGAGTCTTCGTGGGGGCAAAAGTAAGTGCTGTGTGCGCGTGTGCCTGTGTCTTACATTTGTGCTGAGAACTGGCTGCCAGGAAACAGGCGAGTGCAGTCTAGAGCTTGATTCAGAGATGAGTAAGCCCGCCAGCTATTACAAAGCTGCTCCTCCTGGGAAAGACAGTGGGGCTGTGCCACCCTGTGGGTGAGATGGAGCCAAGGGGGGGCAAGCAAACAAAATGACTTTTAAAATGCCTTCTTTGGGCTGCATTTCCACACAGAAGAGAATGAAGGCTTTGAATGGCTGAAAAACCATTCCCTGACAAGAATTTCTCCCTTTCTTAGTGAACTGAAAATTCCAACCCATAAACAGGGATATGGGAGGAACTGAATTAGAAATCAGATTTGCAAAGATTTAAAAAGAAGTTAACCTTGTATTTGAGGACAGTATGAAAAATAAAAATGGCCAGAATTAATTGAAGATACAGGTTAGGCTTTTGATAGAGCCTGCTCCCCTAGTCTTAGCAAACATTGTTGCAAAATTTTGAATGATTTTGAAGGCTGGTTATTAAACTCTTGCTTGAACACCTCCTACATAAATGAAAAATTAAACAACAGTGAAACCCTGGCAGTTTAGAGTCCAGAATAAAAAATGATCAGGCCGCACGGACCAGGGTGCACACAATCAACAAGTACAAGATTCCTGTCTAAGCAATTGTGTGAGGGTTTCTGTAGCGTGGGAAAGAGTGAGGAGCACCTGAGAATAATTTGGGTGATGGAAGGGACCATCCATCTTCCTCTCAGGGACATCCTATGGCAGGGGCTTTTGTAACTGGGTATGCAGTCCTGAAGGATGACTGGGAGGGAACCTGGTGTGAATGGAGAGAACTTTCCAGAAAGAGAGGGAATACCGAGTTGTAGGTAGCAGTGAGAGGTTTGCTTTCATGGATCAGGAGGTGGATGTATAGTCAGAATTCGGACTTCCAAAGTTGCTGCTTCTCAGCTCTGCCAAATTTACCCAGGTTTCTTTGGCCTTAGGGCTGGCATACAACTTCCTCTCTCAAATTACTTGCTCCAAAGCCATTATTTATTCCATCTCTTCCTCCCTTCTTCCCTTCCTTCTCTCAGTAAGCTTTGGCCAGTTTTACTGCAGAATATTTTGCATAACTTCCTTTTTGCCTGTCTTGTTCTGACAGACTGTTAAAGATCACATGATCACCTGGGTCTATACCAGCCAGTGTGCATACTGAAGTGTTTCTAATAGGCTATGCCCAGGTCAATATTATTTCCAGGGTAGTGCTGGACACCAGTTTTGGCCAACATGGTATAATACTCTATTTCGGATTTCCCCAGGGTTGGACAGTTGTTGGCAAGGATGCCAGTTTCTGTTTGCCTCATCTGTCATCTTCGGAGTTGGCTTTACCCCTGCACGTACTTTCCACTCTTCATGAGTTGGGGTCTAGAACTAATGGATTCCAGTGACTTTTTCATGTTTGCAGCCACCACATCCCTGCCTGAGGTATCATGGCCCCCATCCAAGAGCCACCGAGAAGGTGGCTTAGGGTGGTGGGGTGGTCACGGAAGCAAAGTGATGGTTCTTAATCACTTGGACTGGAGAGTTTTGGGAAATTGTATGTAGACTTTCTCCCCAGAATCTTAGAGAAACACCCAATGTTGCTGACATTCAAGTGGTTTATGAGATAGCTGGATCCAGGTTAAGAATCCTAGCTCTGCTAATTACTTTTTTTCTATTGCACAAATATTTTTGGTGTGGGATAAGTCCACAGGGTAAGTAGGATTTCTTTTCAGGGCCCCAGAAGCATGCACTGTGGTTTTCACGAGGTCCTTTCCCAAGGAACCTGAAAGGTTAAGAGCTACTGACCCTGACATTCCTATGGTTCATTCAATGTACTCAGGTTTGTTTTCTGATACTTGAACATTTTTCTACATACATAGCTGCTCAGTAAACCTGAGGAAACCTAGGGTGGTGGGAGGTTTCCTGATGGGCCCCAGGGCTTTAATGCTCCTGAGAGCTTGCTTTAAAAATATTTGTCCTGCTTTGTGGGATTTACTGCAAAACCTTTACTATTATTTTTCTTTCAAGCCCTGGATTTCTCTCTGTGATACAAACAAAATCTGCTCAGGATACCAGGTGTAACTTGCCATTAGCTATCACACAGATGCCTTTTCCCTATAATGTAGCCTCTGAGTGAGGTATAATGGCAAACACTGGGCAAAGAGGAGCTATAATCCTTCCTTTTCAGTGTCCTCCTAGCATGAAAGAGGCCACTTGGGTAATGAAAATAAGCCCAACAATAATAACAGTGGCCACTAATGTTTGTTTGAGTACCAGGAATGGTGCAGAGTGTTTCACAGCTGTTATTTCATGAAAGCTGATGAAGTTGGCACTACTGCATCCCCTTTTTGCAGATGAAATTAGGATTCAGAGAGGTCAAGTACTGCACCTAAGTAGGATGCTGGGGAGCATGGAGCCAAGGCTCCTATGCAGCCTCATCTAACTATGAATATGCATGTTCAGCAAATTGCTTCGAACCTGTGATCATTCTGCCTTACTTATAGACAGCAGCAGCTTTCTCATGAGCTTCTTGAATCCATAAAAAGATAACTGAAATTATATCAGCCAGTACTCATCTTGTATAATCAGCCTAAAAGCAAAAGTAAGTCCTTCTGATTTTTGTAAAGCCACTGAAAGCAGAGAGGTGACCCGCCCCTGCCTGTGTCCCACCTGCTGTTAGAAGGGTTACAGTCAGACTTGCCTGGAGGGCAACGGCCAAGGGTACAGAGCGCAGGGGGTTGGAGGAGGAGATTCACGGAGGTAAAGGGAGGCCCCCGAGGCAGGGCTGGTACACAGTTAGATTTGTACTGGGGAAGCCTCACGCCCACCCCACAGTGGGAGGTTCTTGGGCTCCGTCTGGCAGCCCAGGTCCACCTCTCAGCAATGACCTTGACTGAGGCCAGGAGGTATGGGAGCAGTGACAGCTCCACATGCAGCAGGCAGCACAATCACTGTCGCCGCTGCTGCACTCAGTGGGCTTCTGTCCTGCCTTCTTGGCCAGTCCTTGGCCTTGGTCCCCGTGTCTGAGTCTTGGGTTTGGTGACCTGACCAGTTCAACATCCTCTTCACAGGACAGAGAATGATACTGAGAGGTAATTGCCATTCTGTGCTGAGCTGTGACTTTTATGAGAGTCAATCTGGAGAAAGCGTGGATGGGCAGGAGGGCCAGGACCAGATGGCCTTGATTGGAACCTGAGTTCTGTGCTTACTGGCTCAGTGACTTGGGAAAGCTACTTTATCTCCATGATTCAGTTTCTTCAGCTGCAAAATGGGAATGATAATTCATCATCCTCATAGGGTTGCTGTTCAGAATGAAAATTCATAAAGTCCTTAAACTAATTATTGGTGCATATTGATTACTTGACAAATGTTAGCTTTTATATTATTATTATTATTAAGAAGTCCCCAAAGCCAAGTCCTTCACCCATATTTAATCTTTTAGCCACTACACGGGGCACCTTTTGTTAGCTAGATTTTACAGGTGAGGAAATAGATCTTGGCAAGGTTAAAAGTCAGAGACAGAAACCAAATCCAGATCTGATGATTGAAAAGCCATGAGCCTTTTTGCTGCCTTCCCTCCTGCCTTCCTTCCTTGGGAGCCTTGCTCTGAACTTCCAGACACACTCTAGTCTACTTCTTGCTTTCAGCTCGCCTGGTCCTTGCCACATGCCTACCTGGAGGCCTGGATGCAACCATCTCATTTCCCCCAAGGCCTGTGACTCTTCCTCTCTCCTGCTTTGCCCACACATTGGCGGGATGTTGGGCCTGACAGAAGGATCACTCTTCCAGTGGCTGTCTCAGCCCCATAAAGGTTCTAACTCCAGGCCCCTCCTGCTTTGCTCCTTCGTATTTAAATAACTGGGACATAAACCTGTGGAGAGTGGACTGAATGCAGAGAACTGTGCATTCCTCCACCATTTGTGTGTTTGAGCAATTTAACTAGTTTGTAAGCCTCTGAGTGGGAGCAATCGTGTCTTACGCCAATGTTTCCCAAACTTTAAGTAAGCATTTCAGCCTCCCGGGGGATGATGTGAACAGATGTTCCAATGGAATAAACCTGGAGATGGGCCTGAGAATCTGCAGTTTCACAAGCTCCCATGTGATACCAGTGTTGCTGGTCCAAAGGTCACACTTTAAGCAACAGGGTCTTATACAGCTATCATTTTATACTGAAATGGTGCATCTTCTTATCCGTCTCCTCCGTGGACTCTATGCTTCTTGAAAGCAAGACTATTTCCTTTCTCCTCTATGTCCCCAGTGCCTAGCACATTGGTGGTGCTTAGCAAATGTTTATTGCATCAATGAATGAATGCTTATGTGCACTATCACAGTGTTTCACTGCACTGTGCCACAATAATTGATGGCTAAATGACTAAATGAATGAACAACTGTGGGTATTCCTGATTTTCAGCACAGAAAACATAGTGATAAATGTAAATTTTTTTGCTTAATTTCACTAGAACAGGAACAGAAGAAGAAAACTGTATAAGAACTTAGGTGAGGCTCTACATAAGGCTATCACCTTAACACTAGAAACACAGGAAGGCTGTCCTGTGTGCTCCCAAGGGCAGAAGGTCCCTGAAAGCTTTTGTTAGTGTTACCATAAAGGATTATGAACTTTTAGGCAATTGTTGGGCCTTCTACACAAGGACTATTTCAGCACATGTTTCTCTTTTTCTCTTCTCCTCTCTCCATATTTTTAAAATGAACACACACACCCTCAGATGGAAACCATAGGTTTGAATTCCCATTCACCTTTGAGCAGTAAGTTGTTAGAGAGCCAAGGGAAATTGGGAGCAGCTTTTAGATCATGCTGCAGATGATGTGAACCCTGAAGGCACTCCAGAAAAAGGGATGTGTCTTAGGAGGTGGGTGGTCCTGATTCACTAGAAGCAAAAATACTATGTTCTTTTCTGGCCTCACGTTTCAGATACTGCTTTCATTAAGCTGTTCTCTTTAGCTTTCCAAAAGGAAAAGATGAGAACAGAAATTGGAGCAAGAAAGCAGAATGTCTTGCTCGTTTATTTTTCAGGTACTCAGAGTGTCCTCCTTTCCTGGTAATACAGATGAAGCCAGCCCTGGTTGCATGTCAGAAGCTCACAGAACTTCATTCACCCTGTGGACAGCAGAGCTGGCCAGGATTACAGATATTAATCTTGTTTGTTGAGCATCTACTATGGGCCCAAGTACATATGTCAACACTATTTGCATTACACTGAGTCATCAAACAGAAGGCAACACTGTTGTATCCCTCTTCAGATGAGGGCACAGGCACAGAAAGGGTTACACAAAACCCTCGGTCACACCCAGTCTAACTCACTCAAGGTCACAGTGGGCTGTGGCTGTGGGACTGAGTTCATACAGGCAGTCAGTTAGGTCATGAATTAGATCTTTCCATTTTGAATCACTGTGCTATCCATCCAGTGTTCTGCCTTTCAGTCTTTGGATTGGAGCCAAGTGTAGTAAGTTTCAGCCAGCATTTGGGGGGTGATGTGGTAAAAGCCACAAAGAGATGAGAGTTTGAAGGAACCATCTTCAGCTGTTTGCTTTTCCTCCCCAATGATAACATCAGCAAATATAATAAGTATCCAGTACACAAAAGTGATATTTACATTAGCAATTCAGAAATGTGCATGGCTCAAGATGAAATAACTAGTCCCTAGTACAGTCTAATAAGGCTCCTCCTTAACTACACGGTCCTCAATCTTTTATTTTGGTGACTTATATATCCAGATTTTATAACAGTGAATCCAAAAGAATACTCACATTTCTTTATTTCACTGGAATTCAGAGGTGTTTAACAACTGGACCATAACTGGGAAACTGGGCACAGAAGATGTGAGGAGGTAGTTCTTATTTGTGACCTGGTCTGGTAGGTAGGGGTCTTGCCACCATCTCTTATCCGTGAGTTCTGTTATCGGAGCTCTCATATATGCAGCGTTTCTGCACATCTGAGGTATAAGGATAACTGACATGCTCTGCTGTGACTTTTACAAGCCCATTAGCATCCTAAAAATGCCTCTAAATCATCAAAGGAAGATTAAATTATGTTGAGCATAGTTTTATTATTCAGGGGATCTTATCAAATTCAGACTGTAAAAGAAAAGGATGACTCAGGTGTAGGCGCCCCATTCAAGTCAGTGTGTGGCTATCCAGAGCCCCCCGCCAGTCCCCTTTTCTGAGCACCCCAAATAGCAGTCCTGTGAGCCCCAGAGCATTCCAGAAAGCCTTCCACAGAATTCCGGAGCAAACTGGTTATTTTCATACCCAGTGATCATTTCTCAGTTGCATTTTTTTATCTTTTTCCTACTGATGGCACCTCAAATTGGATGTCAATCAATTGTATAGGCAGAGGCAAGTATTGCCATTTGTGTCATCAGAATAACCATCAAAACTATGGATTTTCTGGCTACGCTGGAGAATGACAATCAGACCATGGATGCTGAGAGAGCAGAGGAGTCGCTTTGAGGAACATATTACATGCTTCAGTGACTATAAATCAACTCTGTGATAAACAGGCAGGGGGAAAGGCTGTGAAAATCCACCTTGGATGGCTCACAGGTAGCACCTGACTTTTGCCCTGGCATCACACATCTATATTTTTGCCTTTTAGCCCACTCAGTCTTGTCCTTTTCTCCTATTGCTATGAGAGTTCCCTACCCCGCTTTCTCCTCTGCATCTTTCCTCTCGCCGCCCTCCCCGTCACACATACCCTCAACCACAGGCCTCACTGGCCTCTCCTCTTCCCAGGCCACTCTTGCCTGTCAGGCCAGGTCCTTGGCAGCTGAATAGATGGATGGCAGAGGGTGCGAGAGAGCCCTGGGGCAACCCGGTACCGCCACCCTCTTCTCCACCCCTACTGCCTAGGCCCTGAGCTCCTCAGATGTGATAAGGCCCCTGTGAATACCTACCTGATATCCACAGCCTTAGCTAATCGAGGAATGTGGTCAAATGAGTGAGAGCGAGAGAACCAGCAATGATGGCCCCTTTCTCTTTCCTTCTCCTTTGTCTCCTTTCTCTATTACCTTTTGACAGTCAATTGAGACAAAGAAAAGCAGGAAAATTCTGTCTCTGCTGATATGGTACACAAGTGTCTCTCTCCTTCAGTTGCCTCATCTCATCCCATTCTCCTTCCACACTGTTCTGTCCCAGTGAAGGTGAGGGCAGGGGAGGGACAGAGAAAGGGTTACACAAAACCCTCGGTCACACCCAGTCTGACCCTTTATTGCTCCCTAGGTCTCCCAACCCTTCTCTACTCCCACCCTTTTCTCCCCTACTCCTGCCCTCCTCACCAACACCCCTGAACATCAACACCCCCTTTCCTCCCTGATGCCTCCCAGCCACCTGACCACCACCTGTGCCTATGGGTTGGGAGGTGGAGACTGTGTTAAAAGCTTGGTAAATTAGAAGGCAGAAAGTATTTTAGAGCATCTCTCAGGGGTCAGGTTTTAAAACCTCTCAAAATCAGGCCTGACAAGCCCATAAAAAAGATAATGACACATGTTTCTAAGAAACCATAAGCAGAAGCTGTGTTTTTCTTGAGGGGTAGGTATTCTCCCATGTGCTCTTGACCCATGTCAGGGTCCGGGTCTTGCGCTCTGGCCCCTCTAAGTGGGTTGTGGGATGTGGGCAAGGGGAGGGAGGCTGTGAGGACTTTGGCACCACAGCTCCCTGATGCTGGGAGCTCTCCAGGACTGTGATTTTCATGTCAGACACTGAAGGACAACAAGCCAGAGAGAAACACTGGAGATGTCTCTGCCTTTGACTAGGTGTCAGAAGCAGACATGGTGCAGTGTAGCAAGAGCAGCCCATGCTGTTGCTAGGCCGGCCATTCATTTGGTGCACAAATCCCCACAGATGGGCTGTCCGTGGACCCAGCTCCATAGGGAAGAGGGACTGTGGCAATGCGTCCTCCAGCCGGCTGGACTGGATGCCATTTAGACTGCCTATGTCTATGTGGCATTGAGCTTGGGTTTGGTTAGCAAATTAGCCATCTTCTTGGTGGAAACTGATTTACATTTGGATCAGCCTTTTTTTTTTTTTTTTTTATCAACAATGTGGGTAGAGGCATAGAAAGACAGCTTGGAAAGTTTGTAGAGTACGGAAAGAAAGCTGACATACTAGATGACAGAGTCAAAATGTAAAAGCTCCTCCCAGGTTCGAATAATGAATGAAAACCAAGGGAGCTCAATTAATATAGGGCCCTGGGCAGAAGTCCACCATTAGTAGTTTTTCTTTAATTATACAAGCTCAGGATCAGGAAAATGTGAAATTAGTTCATATGAGTATTGGTTTATGTGTAATCTGTGGAGGGGGCTGGGTTTATTTTGGAATTAGAGAAGGGAAGAAGGGAGAAGGAAAGGAAAATTGTAGATCCACTGGTAATATGGGTGACTGAACTGGGGAAGACCCAGCTAATTCCACTTACTGAGTGTAATTTGTTCTCAGTCCAGACAGATACCGAACTCTGGTGGCTTCAAATGAACTCTTATAGCCCCAGAAATAGATGGTACTGGTTATCATCTGAGAGCCAAGCATTGGTGTCAGGCCACCCCAAGGACCACAACCACCTTTGGGTTACACGGTCATCCCAGGCTGACCTGGAGAGAGAGAGAGCTTTATTTATATGATACAAAATATGGTTGTCTCTGCAAGGACATTTTTAGGGGACTTCTCAAAAGGGACTATGGATGTGGCAGGCACCTGTCGAGACATCCCCTTCCTCAGATGGGCCGGTACATTACATTTGCAATTATCTCTGCTTTTTTTGTAGATATGTGGAACTGACCAACTACTGTGATTATAAAGACTACAGGGAAATGATATTGAGTAAACCGATGCTGTTCTTTATTAATGTAGAGGCCAGAAAAGACACCTCAAAAGGTCAGTATTGAAGTATTTTGGTTTGATTGTGCCTTGCTGGGACTTTCCACTTAGGCATGCTGATGACATAGAAATTGGGTGTGGAGGTGGCAGGGTGGGTGTACGCTTATGACAAGGCTGGAGAGAGAAGCCTGCTGTGTCAGGCCATCTGAAGCATAGCACAAGCCTAAAGATTAAACCCTACATGAGCCTGGGGCAGTAGCCATCTGTCTTTGAGTTTCCTTTCATGCTTCCTATCAAGGCAGAAAGTGATTTGACATTCTGAGCCTGCAAAGGTTGCAAAAATGCCTGAAGATGATGGTATGGGACACTGTCTGCCATGCATGAGACACTTCGGCGTTCCAGGTCTGTTCTGACATCAGCTGACACATAGCCCTGCAGGGCTTGTCTTTCGGATGGGAACATTTGTAGCAGGAAAGTAGGTAGTGTCAATAATTCTGCTGGGACCAACGCAGGCAAACTAGGATGTGTGGTCACCCTACCTAGGAGGTACTGAGACTGTTTCCATTTTATAGATGAGAAAACTAAGATAAAATAAGTACCTGTAGATGCTTTTATGTCACATGCAGTTATATTAGAATTTCTATTTTAGAAATGTCTCTTTATGGTTTCTTTTAAGAAATCAGACTGACTGTTAACAACTACATTAACTCAAATTCTGTATGGACATAATGATAGAAAAAGAATTTCTGAAACTTACTTCTAAATAACATTCTTAAAGTGAGTCCAAGGTAATAAGAAAGGATCTACAAATTCCAAAGAAACTTACTTAAACATTCAGTCTCGTCCAGGTTTCTGGAGCCGATTCTCTGCTCATGTCAATCAGAGTCATTCAGATATTCTGCTCACTTCATAATTCAAAGTCGGGGGTGGGGTGGGGGCCAGGAATGGAACACAGAGGAACTAGCAACGCTCATTAGAACATCTGAGCCCTTGATATTATTTGGCTTGATGATGGTCAGGAATCCAGAGAGTTCTCTAGGGATATGATTCACAGATGTAATAGTATTTCAAATTTCCTGATATTTAGATTGTATAGAATTGAACAGAATTGGATTTAAGAGATTACCAAAAGAACAAACCAAGGCAAACAACAAAAACCCAACTGTGCCAGGACACAGGCATGGTATGATTTTGGTAACCAGAGGGACCGTGTCCTCCCACTGGGGATTACTGGGTATGGAGGAGCGTGCATCTCAAATTGCCTTGACCTTTGGGGCTCTAGGCCAGCCCTTTGGCAGAGTGAAAGCCAGACCCTGGGGCGGGAGGTGCTGGGGGACAGGAGGCATGGGGCAGCCTTCTTCCCTGGACTTGGCTGATTTTTTGCTTTGCAAATGAAGACATGTTGGTGACAGCAAGGCGGTGGCATGAAAACTGGCTGGCCTGCGTTTCTCACTTAGCTCTCTGTGCTGCATACAGGGGCAGAGGCTCAGTTCTCACCTCTGATAGTGATGGGACGGAACTTCCAACTTCCAATTTCCCAGACAAGGGTAACAAAGTGCAGCCTTGGGGTCCTGCTTCCTTCACATATGTAAAAAATCTCAGACATGCTTCTAGAAATCTGGTGAGGAAGGCTAAAAATGAATAAAATCTTCAAGTAAGGTGGGAATTACTGCTTTGTCACACATGCATACTTCTCTTTGAATTCTGTTTCCAAACTTTTAGAAAGAACATATGCCTTCCTTGTGAACACAAGGCACCCCAAGATAAGAAGACAGATAGAGCAAGGGATGGACATGGTCATTTCCTCAGTGATTGGAGAAAGCTACCGGCTCCAGGTAAGTGCTAGCCTGTCTGAATCCAGGATGGCGAGCAAACACAGATGGTTCCAAGCACTTCACATAGGGCTGAGTCCTGAGAGCTCAACTCTAAATTAGCTGTATCCAGACACAGATGTTTGCTGTTGCTTTATCATCACTACCAATAAAATGGGTGGAGTTTCTAGCAACTTATTAGAAATGGGATAATGAGTGTCAACTTCACTAAGCACTTCAAGGTCTGTAAGGGTAATATGATACAAATGCATAGGTCTGTTTTGAAAAAGTGAAGGCAACTGTTGAAAAGTATCTGTCAGAATGAAAGAGAAACAAGGGGTGTGACATTTTGGACATTTAGGCAATTATTTCTGTAATATAATCTTGAAATAACATAGAATTCTAGGATATAACATCCTCATATGCATGAAATTCATCAAATGTTTCTGTCTTTTTCAGTTTGATTTTCAAGAGGCAGTGAAGAATTTTTTCCCTTTGGGAAATGAGGTGGTTAATGGAGAAAATTTGAGCTTCGCCTATGAGTTCAAAGCTGACGCATTATTTGATTTCTTCTATTGGCTTGGGCTCAGCAATTCCACTGTACAGGTGCATGGAAAAGTGCTGAATTTGTCAAGTTCAAGTCCAGAAAAGAAGGAAACAATTAAACTATTTCTGGAAAAAATGAGTGAACCATTGATCCGAAGGAGCAGTTTCTCTGACCGAAAATTCAGTGTAACTTCCAGAGGTATTAAAAATTATTAAATTATTAAAAATATTAAAAATTCTCATAGTTAAATAAAAGGGTAGCATAGTACAACAAGAGAGGAGAGCCAATGAATGGAAAAGATAAGGTCTCTTGATAAGGGGGAAATATATCACATTATTCAGAAAGTAAAAAGTGAGACTGCCAAAAAGGAATATAGTGGCTTTTCCTTTTAGGCTCCTTAAAGTTTTCTGACATAAAAGCTACATTGTGCAGCATACCCAGAAAATAATTTCAAAATATATTATTAATTTAAATACATATTAATGTTCATTTGAATTTTATTAACATTTATATAAATATTCTGAAAGAATTATGCTTCCCTGATGTGCATGTTCTCAGCAACAGAATGTGAAACAGAAATGTCAGCTGGAAGAGGTGCCTACATGGTTAATCGCTATCAATTTTATGCCAATAAAAAAATTGGCAGGGTTCTCCAGAGTTTGTAAGACCACGAAATAACTCTCGAGAATATTTCACTGAACAACCTGCATATTACGTTAGTGCATTCTGGGAGGCTTGTCAGACTGGTGCACAGGGCCGACAGCACCCACCTGTCACATCCTCTCTGAGCCTGTTCTCTCCACCCTGTGCCAGCTGGGCTGGAAAGCAACTTCCTTGAATCAGGACTTCTGCTGCCAATTCCAACAAGCAAACAAACAAACAAACAAACAACAAAAAACACCAGTCTCTATGAACCAACAGTTCTCAAAGAGTTCAAATGTAAAATACAGAGTATTTAATGACAGTTGCTTTCTTTTAATGTTTATAGCAAAAATGTTTACTCTAGCTATTTCTTACCTTGGATGTAGCCCATCTGTCTCTCCCTCTCTCTCCCTCCTCAGCGCCTTCCCTCTTTCCCCCTCTTCCCTCTCTCCTCCCTATATCTGTTTCTCCCTTTTCTCCTTCCTTCTTTTCTCCTTTCCTACCCTCTCTTCTTCTCCCCTTCTCTCCCTTCCTCTCCCCCTCTCACTCCCTCACTCCATGATGCTTTAGCTCTCTCTGTCTGGATGTTCCTTACAAAGATACCTCTGCACTCTGCTCCACTGCAGCCATGCTGAGGCGGGGCGGGGCATGTTATACACTGATCTTTTGGGGGAAGATGCGCTGGTTGTGGTAGTCCTGGATGCCTGGTCCTTCCTGTGTCATCCCTCCAGCCTCACCCACTGAGCATAGCAGCCTGGGCAGAGTTTTGCTATTTCACTATTGCTCACCTTCTGTTCTGTGACTGCTCAGGGTGTCCACTGCTATCCTGGGGACAATGGGGACATGTGAAGTTGGGCGGTGCTTCCTTAAAATTAACTCTGAGCCAGCCCTGGGGCCACTTCCACTCCAGAGCAGTGAGGCAGCATTCCTCCAGGCTGACCAGAGTCATTATGCTTGGCAGAGGTCACAGCCAAGATGCACCAGTGTCCCTGGCAGGCGTATGCAGCCTGGCCTCCACTGGCCCAGCTTGGGTTGATCAGTTAGTCCAGCTGTACCTCCTTCTCAAAACCCGACCTTTGTCCTGGGCTGTCCCAGTTGTGGGCCTATTATCATCAGTGAGAAAGTGTTTGTGAAACTCACTGCAAATCTATTCCAGCCTGGAAAAGCAAATGACGCCTCACATCCTTCTGGCAAACCAAATGCCTCCCATTCCTATTGAGGTTTTGAGCATTTTTGCGGAGGCCAGAGTTCTCTCTTCAGTATTGAAATGGTTTGTTGTCTTTTGTGAGTTCTAAAGGCACTGTGGGTTTGCTTCTCTTTTCCAGTGATGGTAAACAGATGGTAAATGCCTGGGTTATGTCTTTCAGGTTCAATAGATGAAGTTTTTAACTGCAGTCTGTCACCAAGATCATCTTTGATGGAGCCTCTTTTGGCAGAACTACCGTTTCCAAGGGTTCTGGAATCTGAAGAGACACCTAACCAGTTTGTCTGATTGGACTGGACCTGTTCTTATTCCTCCTACACTCCAGACTGACCAAAGGTTGAGGGGAGCTGGGAGGTGGGAGGAGGTGGGAGGCGGGCCTTCCACCTGCTGGTCCACCTTCTGCTCCTTGGAGTGCTCCTCTCCCTGTTCTATGGGTACTGCCTCAGTAGGCCCCACGCAACTGATTTCAGGGTGGGAGAGGCCTGGCCACATGGCTAGGGTAGCCTCTCCTTTGCACACTTCTCCAAAGAGGTAGAGCGACTGGCAGGGCCCTGAGTGCTTCATGTGGGATGTTGGCACCCTGGGAGTTTCCCTGGCAGCTTCTTCAGGACCAGTCTGACTTGGGCGTTGACCATGATGCTTCATAAATTGGGGTTAGGCCCTCTGCTTGGGACACCCTTGTCTGAACCTGAACTCAAGCCACCCTGGGTTGAGTTTAGGTCCCCTGGCCTAAAATCTGAACTCCGTTGACCTCCCTCTTAACAAAGTGTCCTGTGTAGAAAGAGGCCAGGGGATGTGCAGACATTCACAGGAGGAGGATCATGATCATGGCAGTGTCCTCTTTATTGAAAGCACATTGTGTCAGTTGTGTATTTTTTTTACTTTTTTATTGAATTTATTGGGGTGACATTGGTTAATAAAATTATATAGGTTTCCGGGTTACAATTCTACAGTACATCATCTGTATGTTGTATTGTGTGTTCACTACCCCAAGTCAAGTCTCCTTCCATCACAATTTATTCCCCCTGTACCATCTGGGTATTTCAAATAAGCTTTTAGCAACCCTAACACTAAAAGCAAAATAGAAAAAAGCTATACAACATTACCACAATACATTGATACATCAATGCATTTTTCTCCTCATAGCTACAGTGGAACTCTTTGAAAAGAAAAAAAAAACTCATCTATATATAAAATTTGCATGAATAAATAACTGTATATGCTTATAATGAGGAAGATTTCTGGGTCTTGAGTATAATTTTTATATGCTTTAAAAAAATTTCCTGTATTTCAATAGCACTACTGATTGTCTTTTATATTTGAAATATTATGTATTACCTTTGTGCAATTCAATTTTTCTTATCATTCAACATAGAATTGATTAAAATTTGTAACCAAGTATGAGTGTCATCTTTCCATTGTGTTTTGTATATTTCCCTGCTATTTTGCTGAATTACAAGGACAATTGTGGTTTTCACAGATACTTTCCAGAGCCTTTTGAAGAGCTGGACTTGGAGAAAAGAAACAAAATTTGATATGATCTTTCAGAAAAGAGAATGCTTGTTAGTAATAGAAGAGGATAAACAGTTGTTATTCAACTTGGTGCCAAATGAGGAGTAGTAACAATAAAATAAGTTTTATACAAGCATAAACCAACTTTGGGTGGCTATCAAATATTGAATACTTTCCAAAGGAAATAGAAACTATTTACAAAAATTGACAAAGAAGGTTTTTTGAGAGTATCTGAGTTAAGAAAACCCATCAGTAAGCACTCCAGAAATGAACTAAAGGTCTGGAAGTTACCTTTTATCAGGTAACTTGTCAACTATGAGCCAAATTCATTCAGCCATTCAATATTCACTTAGCAAAATTTTATCAATTGTTTATAAGGAAATAGACACTGTCCTAATGCATTTTATTAGCAAATGTTACAGAGAAGTGATATTGGACAATCTTTAAAATTGGATCTTCCTGGACTTGGGTGTGAATGGACAAATTCAGATATTTTAAGGTCAATAGAGCCCTCGCTGATGTGGCCCAGTGGACTGAGCGCTGGCCTGCAAACCAAAGGGTCCCCGGTTCGATTCCCAGTACAGGGCACATGCCTGGGCTGCAGGCCAGGTTCCCCCAGCAGGGGGCACACGAAATGCAACCACACATTAATGTTTCTCTCCCTCCTTTTCTTCTTCTCTTCCCCTCTCTAAACATAACTAAAATCTTTAAAAAAAAAAAGAATATGCAAAAAAAAATCTATAGAAATCTATAGGACAACAGTGACCTAAGCAATTCATCCATTCAATTAATTAATTCACTCATTCATTCATGCAATGCATATGATTGAGTACCTACTACGTGAGGTTCACTGAGGTGGATGCTGGCATATGAAAGTACCCAAAGCATGGCCTTAGTTTTCCAGAAGCTTCCAGTCTAGTGACAGAACACAGGTCAGGTATACAAGATATCAAGAACAACAAAATAAGTGCTATGAGAGAAGTTCCAAAAGAAAGATATCTATGGTGCTTATGATCCAGTTTTGGAGATGAAATTAATTATGTATAACTATAAAACTTAGTTTTAAAACAAATCTGTAAGGATTGATTTATCAAACTGGCTGATTTGGCTAAGGTCTCAGTGAAGGGGTCACCTTGGAGACTATTAATTTATTCCAACGAGAATGCAAACCTGGACATTATCTACAGAATGAGAGAGTTTTCTCCTCATTATCTCATGGTGAAAGTTTGATTTTTGGCTAAAGGATAACATTGTCCAATGTGATTGCCTACCTTAATTGTCAACTCAAATGTCTTTTTATTGTTTCAAATACTCAATATATTATCAAAGAGCAAAGTTATGTCCCTACTTAAGAAATTAAAAAGAATGTGCATCCATTTCTAAAGGGAGTTTCTAAAGAATTTTTAAAATGCTTTAAGCAATGGCAGTATCATAGAATAAATTACTACTTTTACAGATGAGTACATTCATTTAGATGGATAAATGCTGGTGTAGCAGATTTAAAATGAGTGTTCACACATGATGTTCACCACTTGAATAAACTTGTAAGAAATTAACAGTATAAGGCATTGGTAATTACCCAATGGCTGGCCTGGCCAGCTTACTTTTTAAGAGTTCAGAGATGAGAAAAATACAAGAATCCAACAGAACAGGATGGCCCAGGAGAGGTGACGTTTATACACGACTAACATGGTTGTGATAGAATCAACAGCCTATACTTGCTGTTATGGATTTATTTGGATAAAATGCAAGTTTAGTGAGTGAGAATCAGAATTTAGAATTTTCTGCATTAAATTGGAGTGTTCCAATAAAACAGAGAATATTATAGAATTTTTTTTCAGATTTTTAAATAAAAGGATAGCAGTAATTCTTGGACTACTTCACCATAGCCCTTCTTAGTGGCAGGTAAGAACTAGATGACCTCAGGAACACCTGAGTCTGTGACGGTTAATTTTATCGGTCCACTTGACTGGGCCATAGTAGTCAAACATTATTCTGGATGTTTCTATGAGGGTTCTTTTGGAATGAGATTAACCTTTCAATCAGCCCACTTTGGGTGAAGCAGATTGCCCTCCACAATGTAAGTAGACCTCTCCCACCAGCTGAAGTCCTGAATAGAACAAGAGACTGACCCTCCCCTGACCAAAAGTAAATTCTGCAGACAGATTTCATACTTGAGCTTCAACATCAGCACTGCGCTGGACCTCTGCGGCTTTTGGACTTGCCAGGCTATGCAGCTGTATGAGCCAATTTCTTAAATCTCTCTCTTGGTTCTGTTTCTCCAGAGAACCCTGAATAATAGAAGCCATCACAAAAATTCACAAAATGTTTTCAGAGTTAATCAGCTAAAATAAAGAAGAAAAAGTAATATATTATTTTTTATATGAAGATATTCAAAGCACTGCATACTACATAGTAATAGAAGTATGTGCAAATATAACAACCAAGCCAGAAAAACTTCACTCAGGACATTCATATCCAGAATATGTGGGCATCACTGTAAGATTGTCTGTGACCTCTTCTGGGCTTTCGGAAGCAGCCACCTGCCAAGCCCTTTAAATATCCTACATCAGCTCTCTCTTTAAATTTTCTCAGCAACTCTTTCTGTTCTCCCTCTCATCAGGAGACAACCTGGCCTCATATGACCTGGAGCAGAGCTTCTTAAACTTGAATGAGCAAAAGAAACTCTTGGAAGTCTCGTGAAGCTGCAGATCTGATTCCCTAGGTCTGGGTGGGGCCCGAGCCTCTGCCTGTCTAACGAGCCCCCTGTTGATGCCCAGGCTGCTGGTCGTGGGAAAAGGCTCTAGATTTGTTCATCTCAAACTCTGTGAGTCACCTGTGATCTTGTTAGACAAGCAGAATCTCAGGCCCCAGCTGACTTACTGAATGGGGATCCGCGGGGCCCCGTCTATTCCCTGCGGTGTCCAGTTCTCTCTCCCCACTCCTTTCCCTTGGCCTAGAACTTGCTGACTCTTCTCTTCCATTAAGTAATAATGTAATAACTCTTTACCTGACCCACTCCCTTTCTGCATCTGGAGACTTCTTCTTCACAGACAAAACTGGGTTGTTCTATACTTGCAGTCTATCCTCCCCTCCATAATCCACCCATCTTTACTATTTTACATTATGTTTTTCTGTGTCCATGCATATTTTTGCATGTGTATGTGTGTGCAGAAAGAAAATTTACTGTGGTCATTTAAACTGGAAACAACCAATCAAGAAATAACCCATTCGATACAGCTTCTCCATTGTTTTTAATCGCAAGTCTGTAAAAGGCATGTTAGTGACCCAGATGTCTTTATTTCTGAATGATTAACTTATTTTGGCAGGTCATATGGACACTTACTTCTCTTGCTCCTAGAAAAAGGGGCCAGGGTGTACTTAAATTTATGACTTGACCCCTTCACTCTGGTTGCTTAACCCACTCCAGTCAATTCTCATATTTGAACTCCCCAGCCTGGCCTGCAGGGCCTCCACCCCAGCTGCCTCTCAGCTTCTCCTCACTCTTTACAATCTGGCAGTGCCATGCCACTTAGGGTCTCTGGAATATTTGGCTGTTCCATGCCTCCTGGGTCCCTGCTTGGCATCCGGCACCTTTCCTCTTGCCCCGGCTGCCTCCCAGACATATGGGAGAACTCAGTGCAGACATTTCCTTTTCTAGAACAACCTCCCCAAGCTCCCATGATACCCAGGGCACTGCCCTTAATGTCATTGAGCAGCTCAGTTCCAGTGCACAGTCAGTGTCTGCAGAGGGAAAGGAGAAAGGAAAAAAATTCTACTTTATCATTGAAAAGCAATCCAACTTCTAAGGCAGGAAGCCTTCTGCCCTGTACTATAGTGCTCATAATAAAATGAACCTGTCCCCAAAATCCATTTTAAGGCAGAACTGAAAGACAATAAAAAGAATGAAGGTCACAATAGCAGTAAGACAAAGGAGTAAGACTTAGATTTGTGTGGCTTTACAGCCTATACATTGTCATTGAGAAGTATTCATTTTTACAACCTGGTGAGGTAGGTACTTGTAGACTCATTTTACAAAGAAATTGGGACTCAGAGATGTTTCTGCTTTACTGCAAGGGCCCCAGGCAGAAAGTACAAGGAGCTCTCCATTCAGTATGAACCCCATTTCACAGCTTACTCAAGAGGAAATAAATGGAAGATATTAATAAGAACTTATTTTAAAAATTCCTTATGCTCACTGCTCTATTTTTTTTAAAAAAGTATATTTCTCTTAAACTATGCTATGGTAACTAGCTCTCTCATTTCCAGACAGTAATCTGTTATTGTATATTACTTTCTTAATTTAGATGCCACCACTAAATCTTAACTTAGACTCATTCCTTTCAACAGCATGAACAGAAGCCTATACCTTATGATGTGTTCCACCATTCACTGCTGTAAAATTTGAGAGTTCAAAATGTGTTCTTTTCCGTTATATGGATAAGACCCAAATCTCAGAAAATTTAGAATTGCCTATTCTATGTCCTTTGTAAACCTCCCTTTGTTCCACTTCACTGTTCCCCTAAAATCCTGTGTTAGAACAAATCCTTTGAGGATAAGAAATGGTGTAAATTACTTTCTAAACATGCTGCCGGCAGTCTCCACCTCATGTCTTCTCTCTGCAGTATGGAATAGTGCGTCCTACCCTGGAAGCATTCAATATTACTAAACACCTACTGTGTGTCAAATTACCAGGTAGTTGCTAAGACTAGGAAGATAAAAACCTGCCACATTTTAGGAGAACTCTAGTACCTGGGGTGAGACTCACAGTTTCAGCTTCAGGGGCAGAAAAATTACAAAACATGATAGAACACGGCCTATGCAGAGCAAGGTGTCACAATCATGCCTGCCGGCTCTTGTTCACAAGGACACTTTTCTCCCTCCTGCCCTATTCTAATTCCTGTGTGGAGATGACCCGCCTGGGAGCATGACATTTTCTCAGGGATTTTGTGGTTCTGGTTCTACCTACTTGAGGATCCTTGTGACTTGGTCCTCTTGGTTGGCTCCTACTTACTGCAAAGACCTGTAATACCTTGGCCTTCTTTTGCTTGAGCTGAAAGTTATGAGTAAATGAAACTTTGCAGTTGAAAATCTGGCAGTATCTTTCTTTTCCATCTACTTCCCTTTTGTTCATCTCCCCAAATACACAAGACAATGTTCAAGAAAGCTCCTATACAAATACATGAAAGCAAGGTATGCATATTACTAGAAGCTCATCTTGCCTTTGACACTTGGTCCCCTAGCCTGCTACGTTACGTCCCTTTGCCGCCAAGTACAGGTTTGCTGGGGCTGAGCGGCAGAGCTGGCCCGCGTCTCCATGGCGACGCGTCACAAAGTATCCGAGCGCCAGCAGCCCTGATCCAGCTGGAACGAGGACCTTGAGGATTGCCTGTTGAAGCACGAATGGCACAGACTGGGCTGGAGGCCCCGTACCCCTCTCAAGGCGGCCCCAAAATCCGGCCAGGTAAGACTGTGGACCCTGACAGCCTGGAGGTGGGGTGGGAGGGTGGTGTCTTTTCTGGAGGTGGGGTACACTAGAGCACAGGCTGCTTTGGTCCTTAAGGGTATCTGCCTCTCCCCTCAAAGGCGGGACTCAATTTAAGGACAGGCTGAGAGTCAGGGAAGCTGAGAGGGCATTTATGACCTTGCTTCTGTCCAACCTTCAACAACCCTGCCAATCCTCTCCTAAAATGCTCAGGTGCTTTTAAACATACCATGGAATTCTTGGAGTGGGGCAGGAAAAAAGAGAGACTAGTGCTTTTCCAGGAGAAAAAATCCAAAGCAGGAAGCAAGGTCGGAAGCTCTGAAGACAGCTGACCCAACAGGGGCCCTGATCCCCCGGGAAGGAGCACAGAAAGTCGAGGCAGGGGTGCAGAACGCAGGGACGCAGCCCCCAATGGGATCCACAGAGGCATCGGTCGTTCATCAGCCCTGCCCCCATCACGTGGTTGTAGCAGAGGCTGAAAACTATTGCCTTCAGCTGTTGCTTGTATCATTTGCTGATTTTTCTTTCAAATTGATTTTGTGTTTAACAGATGTAGTGCTTTTAAAATTAATTTTTCATGCAAATGCAGCACATTTACTCACTCAGCTTTTTGTGTCAGCGGAGGGCCACTGTGCTGTGATGCTGGTGGCATGATTGCTGTGTAGCCAGCACCAGCCTCGCCCTTCCCATGGTAACAACAACTCTTGCAGTCTTCTAGCTGGGTGACTGTGGTTCCACGGTGGCTCCAGAGCAGTGGGGATTGTTTAACTGCAAATTCCCTAGAATCACAGTCCCGTAAGAATGAATGAAATGTGTTTCCCATTCCATTTAATCTCTGTAAATTGAGGGTAGGAAATGAAAATAATTAAGAACGAAAGCTATGTGAAACACCCAGTTTCTATATGGTGGCAGGGCAAAGAGGAGGCACAGCGTTCCTGGGTCTTCTCCTCCCTTTCCAGCCACCAGTCTTGGTTTCTTTCACTGTCTCCTCTTCCCTTCCTGTTGGGGAAATGTGGGCATCCCCCGGATATGTGCATCTTGGTTTACACCCTCTGTGAGTGGCCACCCCTGCCACAGAAGTTCAAGTCCATGAAAACATCAATGGTTCTCTAGTCTAGACTCTACCTGGGATGTTCTTCCTACTTTTCAGACTAAAATATTCAAGTGTCTACCAGATCCATTTGGATGCTACAGAAGGGCCTCAAACTCAACACAAAATCATCTTCTGTCCTTCTAACTTTTAGAAGGATGTTGGCATTCTTAACTTTTGCCAGCTCAGTTAAGAGGGTCCCAGCTGCTCAGAGTAGCAGGGAGTGCAGATCTGTTGACACCTTGGTTTGATTGCCAGGCCTCATCGGTCCTGCTCCAAAGTTCCTTTCCCCTGGGCAAGCTTCCTCTTCACATTCAGTCTGGGGTCTCTACATCTTCCCTTCCAGAAATGGTAACCATCAAAGGTGGGCCTGTTGTGTCACTGCCCAGCTTTGTCCCCAGACAGGATGAGGTTGATGATGACTGCTCTGGACTATCTACTATTAAAATACTACTACAGATTAAGCTCTCAAGTGCTGTGTTACTTCCAGCGACTGCCATAACTTACCATAAACTGGTGGCTTAAAACAACAGAAATACATTCTCTCATACTCCAGAGGCCCAAACACCCAAAATTAAGGTGTTGGAGAAGTGTACTCCCTCTGGTAGCTTTAGGGGAAAATCCTTCCTTGCTCTTCCAGCTTCTGGTGGCTGTTGGCATTTTTCAGAGGTTCCTGACTGGAGTCTGCCTAATGGTGGATTCTCAGTCCTCGTATTCCTGGACTCAGCCAACAGCATTTGCCATAGGTGATCCCTTCCTCCTGTAAATACTTTCTTATTCTGGGTGTCAGGACTCCCCAGTTTTCTTCTAACCTCGCTTACTGCTCTTCTCAGTGTCCTTCCCTGACTACTTCTCCCCGCAACCTCCTGATGTTGGCATGCCCCAGACTTCATCTCCTCTAATTAATTTCCTCCTACCTTGTTGATCTCACCCAGTCTCAGAGTTTTAAACAACATCTATACTGCACAATCTCGCACAATCATTACAAAGAATGAATTAGAGTTATACTGGATGAGTTTGAGGGATTTCCCATATGACACCGTTATATGACAGAGAAGAAAGGGATATTTTGTGTAATATGGGCCCATTTTTTTTTACTTTTTTATTGAATTTATTGGGGTGACATTGATTAATTAAATTGTATAGGGTTCAGGAGTCCCTTTTTTAAAAATGGTGAGAGCTAAAACCCCATATGTCAATGTATTTATGTGTGTATATGTAAATCAGTATATGATTACATCAGCAGGTATAAAAGTCTGGAAAGAAACCAGTACAGTTGTTAACACGGGCATGCTGGGAGGAGGGATGGGGAGGCAGATGATAATGAGCAGGGAGAAGAAGAAGCAGGAGAAAGTGTCCAGGATGAACAGACATATAAACTCTGATTTGTGTACAATCATTTCATGTGTTTACAGGTTCATGTAATGTGATGTATAAAAAATTGGTCACTAAATCAGAAACATGAGCATTTTAAGATGATAAATTTCAAATAAAATTTTTGCTTTATATTTTTACATATTGCTTAAACTCATTAAAAGTAGCATGTATGGATTCTCAAGTAAAACAACAGACTTATTTTTATGTAGGGGGAAAAACTCAGACAATTGAATTAAGCTTCCTCTCTTAGTGGAAGCCACAAGTTGGTCTTTATTTCTTTAGACTCAATATTACTGTCCAAAATGTTTTTCTCTTGCAAAATTATTTTAATTATTAAGACAACATTTGATTAATATGTGCTGGTCTCACCCTTTTAAAAGTGTTTTATTGTACTTTTAGCAGGTAATACCCACTGGGATTCCTACGCCACCACGATGAAGACTGCATTCACACCAAAAAGGGGAGCGGTGCCTGCTTTAATTCGGTACATCCCTATTTGAGTCAGATTGGCATGCACACTTTAATTTGTTCACTTGTATTCAATTATTCAGAATGCAAAACAAGTAAGAAGAGTAACCAGAGAGGGCTTATGAAGAATGCACTCTGGTAGGACCTATTGCATGCACAGTTCTACCCCAGGGACCAGAGAGAGTGCCCTCTTCAAACAATGTCCAAACCTCCTGCAGGAAAATGAAGAAAACTGACCCATGGATTCTTCCTCAAGTTACTGTGTGTCTTGGTTTACAATAGAGCCATAAGTAGGCTAATAGAATTATGCTGCCTAAACACTGAGGATGAATTGAATCCGTCACCTGAGCCGTAGTAGACAGGCAATGATAGCTGAATGAATGGATGAATGGCCAATTGTTAACACTTCTAACAACACTAGTCTTGGGAGCTGGAAGAAGTCCACAGTCCCTTTGCCCTTACCTTCACTCTTGTACATTTTGCTTCCTAAAGCAATGTTGGTCGGCAACTTCTCCAGTTCCAACTGAATCTCAGGTGGTGGGAATTTCGGTCCATTGGCTGCCTCTCTGAACTCCCTGGTCAGTGAGTGAAGAGTGGGACTAGAAAGCCCTGGTGTCTTTCATGGCATCAGGGGTAGGAGGGAAATTAGCATGGAGAATCTTCACTTGTCTGTCTTTACTCTGTAAATTGTTTCCAAAAAAGAGGATACTTTCATCTTAAAAGTTCAAATTATTAAGAAGTTCAAGTGTAGTATCAGCAAGACCATGGCTGTGGTATCGGGCAGAAATGGATTGTAGCATCGGCCCCCTGTTCTAACTTAATTTATCTCTACCACCTGAGGCAAGTCATAAGCCACCTGTGGCTCAGTGTTATGGTTGGTGGTGGTTCTGAGGACAGAATAAAAGTATTATCACAGTGACTAGAACTAGAGATTTCCTCAAAAATGTTTCATTCATTCACCCCAACATAGTATATGACAGACTTCCAAAAAGTACAGGGCTGCAAGACCCCTGACTTCCGAGTTATTGGCTACTGTACTGAGTCACATCATGCCCTTTCACTGGGAGATTTACCCTTGGACAGTAATGATTCCACCAGCATCCCACACAGCAACAGTTGTCTGAAGAAGAAACATTTGGGATGAAAGCCCCCCCCCAAAAAAAGGTTACTAATGAAGTCTAGGTCAGTGCGTCTCAAACTTCACAGAAAAGTTTCCATCATAAATTTAGATAGTTGAAAAAGATAAAACTTCAAGCCCATCCTAAATATTGACATTAAAAATAAAACTGTTAAGTCATCCCTTTGAATATAACCAATGGGTAATCTAAACACCTTAGCAAATTGATTCATGCTATATGACCCTTTTAAACAATGCACAAACAAGCTCTTCTTTAGTAGATAAATTACTTCATTTCTTTTCCTTCTTGAACTCTTAGTCCCACTCTATTTCCTCCATAGAATTTTACCATGCTGTAATATATTTTTGTATTTGAGAGCAATTTATTGATCACTCCATTATGCTTCTTGGTAACTATTTTAGTATATTAATTGAAATTAATTTTTAAACATGTCATGTGACCCTAAGTGTTGAGTTATCACAATTATTTTTAGTACACAATGGCTCAAAGCAATAAATACAATAAAAAATGTTAATAATTATTAAATACAAAAAGTAAATTTTTTGGAACTACACCTTAATGAGATAGATGGGGCTGTTTTGTTTTCAATTAGTTTATGTATCTAGCTTTGAGTGTTATTACTTTTGGAATAAGACCACATTCAACATTAATTTTTTTCTGCTTCTTTACTTTTTTTAAATATGTAGATGCTACTGTTGAGAAACCTTGTTCACATAAGTAAGTAGACATGAATGAAAGGCATCTTTAGTGTCACTCAACTCTCTGTCTGTTTTGTATTTTTAATGATTGATTGGCTGACACCATGGAAGGGTACTCATTCAATTTTATTGAAAGCAAATAATTAGATGATATGTCATACAGTTATTAAGTCATTCCCTGTCTCATTTTCTTAGAAGTGTATTGAAAAGGCATGTCTTAACAAATGACTATAAATTACATGTTACTTTTTTACTCGGAGGAAACCTATTTAATATTATATACTTAAAAAGGACTTAGAAAATGGGAACATCAGTTTAAACAAATGTTTTTCAATACAATATTTTTTTTACAAAAAGCTTATATTATCACATACTTAATATATATTTTTATCAAAATCTTGGAGCTGGAGATTTAATTCATATGTTTCACCATATTTACCTTGTCAGTAAAGTCAGTCCTTGTTGTCAAGGCAATAAGAAAAATTAGATTTGCTTACAGTCAAAATAAAATATAACTACACTTCCAGTTCCAATATATGTTAATATATGCTTTGAGGAATATTATAAGCTACTGATAAAGTATGGAATGCCTTTTTTTAGGGAAGATTATTAAAAGTAGATGGTGACATGTAAAAAGATTCAGGTCTAATATGATTTTAATATAGCCAATATTATAGCAATAAAAATAATGCAATGAAATGTATAAACTATCTGTGAAGAGAGGAGTATAATTAAAAAAATGTTCCTTAGTTAAAAATATTCTCAAGTGTCTAGAACTTTAGTGCACTTAACATTGGGGAATAATCAAATAATAATTATATGTAGAAATTAGAAATAATTTCACTGAATTCTTTAGACACCAGCTCAAACAGTCATTATTGATTTAATAAAAGATAAAGTTGTGTGTGGTATAAATTAATTGGGTTGGCAAGCCAGAATAAGGTCATGTTGTAATAGTTTACAACATAAAATAAAGTGAAGACTGGCTGCATCAGGTACATATTTCATCATATGATTGGGTTTAAAAATAAGATTTAAATATCTATTGAATGATGAACACAAAAAAATTCTTAAGACTTTTATGCACCACTTTTATCCAGTTAATCTTTAAAATTCTAGTAGCTTTGGAAAAGATTCCAGTTACATTTAAAAGAATCAGCATCACCACCCTCTCCTGCTCCCTCTACTCAGAGAAGCTTTTCTTTCCAGCTGACTACATATTCTAGAGATTTTTAAAAAACTGAAAAAATGCTTTAAATCAGTGGGGAAAAGAAGTATTTTAAGCATTCTATATTCCCTGCTCTCTTCCCAAAGGCTTCTCCCTAATGAGGAATGAATGTTTCTAATTTTTAGAAGATGGAAAACTAGATACTACTCTGAGTTTTGCCACTACAATGTACCTAAATTCAGAGCATTCTGCAGAGGTTATAATACCTTGGTTAGAGCCTCACTCTTCCCCTCTCTCAGAAAGAGGCATGAGACCTAGGCAAGGGTGCGGAATTGGGTGACAAGGGAGCTGCCCTAAAATCTAGGGCAAAATTTCCCTCCACTAGGCACCTCTCACAGTTGGGGGCTTACCCCAGGTGAGGTGTAATGCACCTTAGAAAGACCCTATGATGGAATGGAGACGGGAGAAAGGGCTGTGAGGAAGAAAGGACCCAGAGCTATGCAGGTTTGCTCCCAGGCAGGTGCCTGTTAGGAAAGAGTGCACTCAGAAATGGAGATCTGAAAATCAGCCCCTTCAAAGCTACTTGTGCTCTGTTTCCTTTGGAGAATCTTCCTGTACCTGTGATCACTTCCATTTGATTTAGGACCACACATCTGGATGACAGGTAAAATAGTCATCATCCAGCTGTGTCCCACTTTCCAGATGTATGTTTTCTTACAGACATAATCTGAGCCTAAACCAGCCCTTTTTTGGGGGTAAAAAACCTCAATATGAAATATTTTAGATATACTCATACACAACAGATCTCCAGCTATCACCCAGCTTCAATCATCAAGAACACATGGACACTTTTATGTGCACCCTCCACCCAGCCACCCCACTGGCTAATGTTGAAACAGATTCGAGGTGTTATATATCATTTCAATTCTAAATAATTTTTATGTATCTCTAAAAGATAAGGACTCTTTCAAAATATATAACAATACTACTATGTCACCTAAACTTTTTCTTAATATCAAATATAGCCAGTCAGCAATAGTTTCCCCAGTTGTGTTATAATTTAAAAAATAGTTGGTTCGGAATTACATCCAAATAAGGTCTATACATCCCATTTGGTTATTATATCTCTTACATCATTTAATCTACATGTTTCCCCCTTTTTTCTATGAGAATTTCTTCTACGAAGAAATGGATTCTGGATTTTTCTGATTTCACTCCCACTACATTATTAAAATATCCCTAGTTTCATGTATTTCCTGTAATCTGACATTCCAGAAACTTCTTCAGATTCAGGTTGAATATTTTAGCAAAAATATTAAATGGATGGTGTTGTACATGCCTATCAAGAACACATAGAACCTGGTGGTCCCTCTTTTTGAGCTGCAAATGAAAACTGCTGATCACTGCCTGGATGCATTATTTCCCTAGGGACTTGCAAAGCACTGATATCCTAATGCTTATATTTCTTCCTTTTATTAACTAGAATACTTCTATAGAGAGAAACTTTTCTTCTCTGTTTGGTGACACTGAAGTACTATTTTACAGGAAAGTACTCAGCTCTTTAAAAATGAATTTTAAAAATTAGTGAATTTCCTATTGTTATTCTTTTAAATTTCACTTTAGGATCCATCCTAAGATACAGGATTGCTTCTTTTTAGGGAATTCTAGAAATTAAACAATTTCTGGCATCAAGTCTTAAACCTATCTTTAAAAAAATGTAATGAGTAGAATTCTTTGACATGTGTGCTGTTTTTAGACTTAGTATTTAATTCTTTACTCTAATTTTCACCATCTTTCCTTGTAGTCAAAAAAGCATCCGAAGATTAGGATATACATATTCCCTTAGTGATCCTCTTCTCAATCAGACACACTACAATGATGAGTACATCTGGAAGTTATGTTCTAAAGAAGATTTGATCAAAGCTGGGACTCCTAAGGAGACTGGGAGCCACAATTCTCACACCAGTCAGGTAAGATAATACCTGCATATCTGTTGAGTGTAATACTGTATCAATAATCCATACCTGAGAGTTTGAATATATCCCAAAGATCCTTCATCATCTACAGTTATGGTTCTTCTTAGACTCTTTTTGTCCACCTTTTCACATTTATTTCTTACTATTTCTTCCCTAACTGCCTCATTTAAAAAAAATTAAAAATTGAAGTGAAATTCACATAGAGAAATTATAAGGGGAGGAAGGGAATGGAGTGGGAACCTGAAGATTAAAAGACATTTGAAAGACAAATGTGGGACAGTGGAGTATTATCTATTTTGAGGAATTTCAGTGTAAAGGCAAACTGAGAAACATTTTAGTAACTCGAGGGGGAAGTAGGGTGAAGGGAGAGTTCTCTCTTTTTAAGATGGGAGAAATAAAGGCAGGCATGGATACCAATGACAACCATGGAAGACAGAGGGAAGAATGGAAGTTGCAAGAGAGAGGTGAGAGCCTGTGTCAGATTTAACACAGGCTCTAGGGTGCCAGGTGGGGTCAGACCCTGGTGGGTGGCCTGGCAGCTCCTCTGCCATCACAGATGCGGTGGCTGGGAGGGGGCGTGATGGCTGTGGAGGTTCTCTTTGTTGGCTTCAGTTTTCTCAGGGAAATAGGAAGCAAGAAGGAAGAGAGGGAACATGGAAAGAGGTGGTAGAGATTCCAAGTTTTATATTCATAAATCTCTTTGGAGGCAAAGAGGAGAGAGAACTTGGAGCTCCCAAGGCAAAGCAGAAGTTGTGTAGCCAGCCCTAAAATTCATAGGGTCTTCTCTTCCTCTGGTCTTGTATGAAGATTTCTAGTGGAGGCAGAATTCTTTGGACTTTGATGAAATTTTCTTTCATCAAAGAAGTGACAAAGTGCCTGTGTAAAATGATAGCTGGGTAAACCAATGGCTCTGTGGACAGGCTCCTGTGCACAGCGCATCTGCAACGAGGTGCCTGGGGTCAGCACACACACACACCATTAGGTGAACCGTGTGGATTTTCTTAAAAACTCTGTTTGTATTGATAGGGCTCTTTTCACCGGACGCTACCTCCAGGTCACTCCACGTCAGTGAACAGCTACTTCCCTTTGAAAATCTCTGCTTCAATGGATGAAGTCAGAAAGGCGATATCAAATCAGTTTATTTCCCATACTAGGAGAGACTTTGTGGACAGAGCTGAAGGTAAACATGTCCGTTTCTCTTCTTTCCTGCTAATGTGCTGGGCATTGGAGTACCAGTTGCCCCTTTCTTCAAGGAACTCACAGGACAGACATAGAAAAAGGCAATTTGCTAACAGAAATAGTGAAGTATAAAAAGGTGCCTGTTGTGAGAAATGCAGGTGCTATGGGTGTACAAAATAGGAAATCTAGCTGAAAGTCCTATTGCACACATCCTTTCTAGAGAGGCTTCTTGCGCTGAAGGACAAAGACAAATGAGCCAGGTAAAGATGAAGGGATCAAGTTAAACATCCTGTTTCTAATTCTTAACTGTTTTTTTAATTACTATTTTTAAAATTAAAACTTTTATTAAACCAGTTCATGCATATACTTAAAATAGTTCCCTGCAGGCTCATAATGAATAGCAGCAATTTCTTTACCCATGTCTCCCTTACCCAGTCCTTCTTCATATTGACAATTATTTTCAGTCATTTCAACTGTTTCTTCTTATGTCATCCTTTGTATTTTAATAGAATGTTCTCATACTGCTATGTTTTAGTCCATCAGTTTTAGACATTATTACTGACTTTCTGTTATGGCTGTTGAGGATTTGGCTCCCCTATAACTCTTCCTCACTCTTCTTCCATTCATTCTCTCAGTATTACAAAATTTTGGTTTACTCAGTTGATAGGGTTTATATTATGATTATGATAATATGATATATTATAATATGTAAACATCTACTGTTGAGCCAGGTAGTATTTTATAATTATGTTTCTTTTTACTTTTTGTTTTGTTTTTTACTAGAGTTAATAATTTTTTCATTTGCTTAATTTTCTATGTGCCTGTTGCTAATTTTTTCCAACTGTTTTGTCACACACTTACCAAGATTTTTTTCCCAAATACAGTTTCAGACTTTCTATCAGTCTGAGATTTTCCCGGGGAGCTGACACTCTCCCTAAGTCTCCTTTAATCTAGAAGAGTTGCTCTGTAAATGTGCTGCCCAACGGTGCCCTGGGACTTCCTTTTTCATCATTTTGGGCATTTCTCTGGTTTCTTCCTGCCCTGAATCTCATTTCCTGAGTCCACATTTTCTCTGTGTTGTTCCCCCTCCCTCATTTTGTTGAAACATGTCTTCCAGTAGCTTCCTCTGAAAGGGAATGTGGGAAGAAATTGTTTGGGTATGTTCTTTCCAGTCTCAAATGTCTTTTTTTTCCTTCCTTATCCTTGTTTGATAGTTTGTCTAGGTATTGAATTCTAGGATGGCAACCATTTTCCCACAGGTCCCTCAAATGACTTCTAGCACCAGGACTTCTATGTAAAAGACTGATGCCATTTTGATTTCTGATTTTTTTCATAATTTTTTCCCTGGATGTTCTCAAGATCTTCTCCTTATTCCTAACACTGTAAAATTTCACATTTGCATGCACTAGTGAGACTCTCATTTATTATGTTGGACAATTAGGACCATTTAATCTAGAAACATATGTCCTTTGGTTTTGGAAATTGTTCCCATATACCCTTTTCCTAGGTTTCTTCTATTTCTTTACTCTATTTTCTTCTGGGACTACTGTGAGTTGGTATGATCCTCTAATTTTCTTATATTTTCTCGCTTAGTGGCTTTCTCTTTGTATTTTGTTTATTTGAAATATTTTTAACTTTTTCACCCAACTCATACAGAATTCTTAATTTCAGTTCTCATGCTTTTTAATTTCCAAGACCTCTTTCTTCTTCTCTCTGATTATTTTGTACAAATAGCATTCTGTTCTTGTTTTATAGATGCAGTATTTCTCTTATAAATTTTAGGATACATATGATTTACTTAATTTTTAGTATTTTCATCTGTTCTTTGCTTCATCGCTATTTTCTCTGTGTCTTAATGGTCTAATAAAAAAATGTTTTTGTTTATATATACAAGGGAATGAAGGCAGATTTAATGCAGCTAATAAAACTTAAGTCTCACTTCTGTAGGCTCGGTTTTTTTTTTCTTTAAATGGTTTACCTAAAGTATTAAGCTCCAGGTTTCACAAATTCTACAAGGGAGGTATTCAAATATGATTGGAAACCACATACAAGGATGGGTTTTGTTAGCTGGTGCTTGACTTAGGTGATGAGATCTCTTTCTATTGGGAAACCCCCAAGTGCCAGTATTTGTAGATCAGTTTTTCCAGAAACGTAAATGCTTGGTTGTTGGCATTGAGAGCAGGACTCGGGTAGGAACTGAGAGTTCCCTGACTGCTGTTCATACTCGACCTGAACCCCTCTTTTTTTTTCTGGTCCAGAATCTTACTACACCCTTCTCCAGTTCCTGGCATACTGGAATCCAGTGCTTCTTTGGTTCAATTTTGCACTGAATAAATCTTTGGTTAGGAAGGGGATGGAATCAAAAACCATCATATTGCAGATAAACATTAAGGGTCATGGAAAAATATTTGAAATGCCAGCAATTTTTAGTACTTTTGTTTGCTTTTAAAGATTTATTTGTTGATTTTTAGTGAGTGAGGAAGGGAAAGAGAGAGAGAAAAAGATCAGTTTGTTGTTCTACCCATCCATGCATTCATTTATTCATTCTCAGGTGTGCCCTGACTGGGACTGAACCCACAACCTTGGCTCATCAGGACGATGCTATAACCAAAGAACTACTTGGCCAGGGCCAGAAGTGCCAACATTCTTAAAAGATGTCATTGAGCTTCCAATCAAAATTGTTCTTTTAGCATGTGCAAGTTACCATGTCCCCTTGCCTAAATAAATACTGAACACCTGTCAAAGACACCCTTCTAAATCTCTTAATTCCATCTGTTTCACTCCCTCCCCATGGCTACTACCTTAGTTCAGGGTATCTATGTCTCTTCCTGGGATGGCCTCTAATCCAACTCCCTTTTGTGCTTTTGTCTCCTCTAGTCCATTGTCCATACTATAGGCATAATGAGTTTCTAGGTGTGCGGTTGACATCACCTTCTAGCTTAAAACCCTTCAATGACTCCCCATTGTCCTCAAGGTTCTGTGCACTCTGGTCCTTACCCACTGCTCCAGCAATTCCTCCTGTCAGTCCCCACACTATTAGATTGATTGCCTTCTGTCCTCTAGACCCACCAAGCCCCCTGCAGCCTCACACCTCACACACACTGCTGTTCCCTGTGGACTGCTCTCTCCCTTCCTTCTTTTAGCCCATGTCTGTCCATTTAAGTCTGAGTGTAAACCCTATTTCTCTCCAACGAGTCTTCTCTCATCTTCCAAGTTTGGATCGATGGACATCCAATATGTTTTTATAGCTCCTCTTCTGCAGCATTTATCATATAATGTTGTAATTATCTTTTTTTGTATCTGTTTCTCTAAATACTTTAAGCTTTGGAAACTCAGGGACCATGTCTTACCTGAGTATCCTCAGTATTGAATTATGGTGAATGAATGAGAAGCACTAAAAGGTGGTTTTTTTCTTGAGAATTTCAGGCTTGCAAAACTCTGCTTGGATGATTCAGCTGCAGATAAAAGCAACAGGACTGGTTCTCACTTGGCTATAGGTTATGTGCCAAGGGTCCTAGTGGTTTTGAATAGTCCTTTCTGTAGATTTACTTTTGGACTGGGCCTTTCAACAGATGTCATACTTAATCTTAAAGGGGCCAGTTTCTCTCTTTGGGCTATAAGGGCAGTAGTATATGTCATCATTACCAAGTGGAAAAGAAACAGGTGGGACCTGAGCTTCTGAGGAGCAGGGACAGTCCAGGCCTTGGAGGGGTGGTTAGCTTTGGACCAGGTTGTCTTTTTTGTCGATACTTCAATACCACTAAAGGGCCTTTAGGTATTGGTTGGGCCCATATATATCAGGAACTTCTCTCCTTAATAATGCCAAAGAAACTCATTAACATGAAATATTATAAAGACAATGAAAGCATTAGTTGAGAAGAACTAATAATGAAGAATTATTTGAAGCATACATCACATAGCAGTCATTAGTGTGTGCTTTAGATTAATTGCTTATCTATAGCAATTATTGTCTGATTTTTCTTTTGTTCACTCATTAATTTAGTAAATATTTAATGAGGTCTATTATTGAGATAAGTACTAAGGATCAATGAAAATACAACTTAACCTTTATCTTCAAGGGAACTTGCAGTAAGTATAAGCTCTGATTATTGTCTTTTCTGGGTCTTCATCTCCTATCTCTCTACTTCTATGCTGGTCCATTCTGGTTCACATGGGCTAACCCCTCCAGACCCTAACTTGTGTCTCCTGCTTTACCCTCAGCTACTTCTCCCCACAGTGCATGCCTTACACTCCCACCAGCCAAATTACTTCATGAATACACTGTGTACTTTTTGCTTCAGTGTTAGTCCATTGTCAAAGCATGCCATTTGCTATATCTGCCTTTTAATTGTCATCTTCCTCCCCTTCCCCTAATAGAGCTCATTACACTTTCTCTGGGCTTCTGCAGCACCTTATTCAAGGCTCTGAGTCAATGACGCTTAAGCATATGAGAAGCTTGTTCACAAAGTAAGTGCCTGGGTCCCACTTTTAGAGACTCTCAGTGTCTGGGATGAGGTTTCAGCAGGTGTGATTTGGAAAAACCATCCCAAGTAATTATGATGGATCACCTCCGTGTGCTAATTATTATTTCTAAGTGTTATGCTTGCAAGACATCATATTCCATATGTGTTTATCTGGTATCTATCTTTCTAATCATACTTGTTTGAGGTTGTCTTAAGGTAAAACAATGACTTAACTGTCTTTAACCTTTGGTATAGAACACAAGTAGGAACTGAACATATTTGCTTTTGAGTAGTAACATCAAGTATTTCAACAGGAATTTTTCTCCTATAAAGCTATTAGTAATCTACAAAAATCAAGTTATAGATGGTACTTACTAAGAACAATGCCAAGTGATTTTCCAAAAATATGTCAAGGGATCTCTGATTTTGAGCCGTAGAGTTTCCTCCTTTCTATAACCTTGTCTTCTCCATGGGCAGCTTATGGCTTCACTGAGTACCCACACCCTCTCTTCCTGAGTCACCTAAATTGAAAGTGTGCTTATCTAGACTGAGATCATTTTTTTAAAAAATCAATAACAAAATGCTTCTGCGTGCCAGTAGATGACATCACATATTGTTTGATATACAACATACATTTGAATGTACTTTGAAAAGACCTCTTGAAAAACTAATTTGGAACAAGAATTGAGTTTAGTTTCAGTAGTAATTAGCACTGTTTGGACACTGTTTGTGACATCCATGGTTTGAACATCTTTGTCCTGAATGAAGCTGGGGTTGTGCAATGCGCTTGTGCACCAACATTTTGTAGCAAGAATTAAGGGTGAACTCATCTAGGTGAGATGGCTTATGACTGTCTCCTCTGTAATCTGGTAGTGTGCTTATGGGACCTGGTATTCAATCAGTGCTTAATAAATATCTAATGATCATATATTCAAAGAAATAACAGTGCTATTGTCCACTAAGGACAATGATGTTACATATACCTCCATCAGTAGAAAGAACCAGCTTTGAGTAGTTCTTTCCAGGTAAGGGTGATGAGATGCAATGCTCCAGCTAGGGCTGCCAGATGCAGTACATAAATAAACAGGATGCCCAATTAAATTGGAATGATATATGGTAGATAAATACCAAGTACTTACATGATCTTATACTAAAAAATTATTCACTGTTTATCTGAAATTCAAATTTAACTGGCATCCTGTGTTTTACATGGTGACCCTAGGCCTATCTGAAATCTCTCTCCCTTCACCCTACCCATGCCTTCTGTGTCCTCGGAGCAGAACATAGAGCACTTCTAACCCATATAAAATGCATTCATTAGGAACTACTTCTAATCACTTGAGCATATTCTTCCTGTGCCTGATAAAGCAGAAAATTATTTCTTGGTTGAAATTGACCATACCTTTAAATACAAGAAGAGTGAGGTTTAGTGTGATAAATTGGAAGCTACTGCCAGAGCAAAATGGAAGGAAAATATGACACTATTTAGAAATAGCTGAGAAGCAGTAATCATTGCCTTTTACTTCTACCCTACCCCAGCTCAGAAGATCAAGAAAAGTTCTCAAATGTTTCTGGAATCAAAAAAGTTACTACCCCACCCTGCAGACACTGAATTTCGACGTAATTACCAAGTTCCAGCTAAAATTCCTGAGTTTCAGGATTTTAGTTTCAAATATGGATGCTACTCAAGCCTACCAATCGCTTCTCAGGGTCTAGGTAAGTGCACTTGTAGCTTTTAAAACAACTTAGTAAATATTCTCCCGTTCCCTCAAGACTCTTCTTGATCTTTAAAAAAAAAATTATTATTGTTTAATTATAGTTCCCATTTTCCCCCATTATTCTCCCCTGCCCTACCCACCCCCTCCCACATTCAATCCCCCCACTCATCCCCACCCCCCCCATTGTGTTTGTCCATAGGTCCTTTATACGTGTTCCTTGACTTGACCCTTCCCCTTCTTTCCCCCATCATCCCCCTCCCCTCTTCCCTCTGGTCACTGTCAGTTTGTTCTTTATTTCCATGTCTCTGGTTCTGTTTTGCTTGCTTGTTTGTTTTGTTGATTAGTTTCCACTTATATCTTTATCTTTCACCACCTGGCTTAGTTCACTTAGCATAATACTCTACAGTTCCATTCATGCTGTCATGAAGGGTAGGAGTGCCTTCTTTCTTAGATTCCTCTTGATCTTAATAAGACTGGCAAAGAATGCCAGTGATCCCTACATGGAATTAAAGCTATGCCTCTGTGGTACCTAGCCTCCAACTCAGGAAATGAGTAAATCTCAAAGAGAACTGCCTGCTTATTCCAAGAAATGAGTATATCGTCAGCTTGGGAGGAGCAGGTGTTGGGATTGGGGGACATTCTCCCCCATTATAATATGAAAGGAAGGATTCAGTTGCTATAAATTGATAGAGAAAGAGATTAGGTGGGAATGAAATTAGCCTCGTTATTTATTCACTGAAAGTTTATCCACAAGGCATACCTTTCAAGCATCTTCAGATTAGAGGAGTGTGTGTTTGTGTGCATGTGTGACCCAGATTTCTATTTTGTCAAAAGAGAAGTTTTTAAAAGTTCTGTGATCCAGCTACCTCCAAGGTACTGGTTGAGAGGATTCTTGGGTGTCATTCTGAGACAGTGGTTGATTCCTGGCATGGAGTTGGGACCAATAGTACTTTACACAGAAATCACTGAACATACGCTTATCATCTGGGGTTAGAAAGTAGCCAAGAAGTTACTTGGTCTATCAGGGATGTCCAACCTGTGGCCTATGGGCCACATGTACCCAGGATAGCTGTGAATATGGTCCAACACAAAATCATAAATTTACTTAAAACATGAGATTTTTTTTTTGTGATTATGTGTCGCAATGTATGTAATGTCTGGCCCAAGACAACTATTCTTCCAGTGTGGCGCAGAGATGTCAAAAGGTTGGATACCCCTCAATCGTCACATCCTATGTGAGTCACAACTATACTATCCTTGCCAAGAGATGATATTATCTCTGCTCAGACTCTTCAGGGGAGTGCTCATCCCCAAGGAGATCCTTCATTCTGAGACATTTCAACTGCTTGAAAGTTCTGAACAGCTAAAACCTTCCATGTTCAACTTCTAGTCATTGGTTCACTTCTTCCCTCAGAGTATAAATCTATCATTCTATGAAAATCTTATGTATGCCTTCTAAGTCTCCTGCACTGAAAGCATTCCCAAACCCTATAAACACTCTTCTTAGGATGTAGCATCAAGCCCCCTCACCAGCTGGTCCCTCCATCTGGCCAATGGTCCATTTCAAGGAGACACCTGGAACCAAGGCAGTATTTAAGGTATGCTTAAGGTTTACAAAGACTGGACAAGTTGTGGACAGATTCTCACATAATCTTCATTGCTTTTTTTTAAATTTTATTTTAATTTATTTTTTCAAATACATTTGTCTCTGCCTCCCCCCCTCCACCACTTTCCCTTGCCCCCTCCCTCCTTCCCTCCCTCAGCTCTTCTCCTTTGGTTTTGTCCATGAGTCCTTGCTATATGTTCCTTGACTTGCCCCTTCCCTTACTTCTTCCCCCAACCCCCCCTCCTTCCCTCTTGTCTCTGTTGATTTCTTTTCCTTTCAGTGTTGCTGGTCTTATTTTCCTTGCATCTTTGTATTGTTGGTTAGGTTCTGCTTATAGGTGAGATCATATGGTATTCATTGCTTTTTTTAAAAAAAAATCTCACAACTGTCAGAACCCACATTCAATAAGCAATGTTCAGAATTGAAGGTCAGTGATCTGTACCTCACACCTCTGTTAGTCTGAAAGTGCAATGAGTGCTGTCAGCAGATGTCATCCTTCTTCCAAACTGCTCATCCTATGGCACCTGGGGGAAGCCCCTTTATGTGTCAGTCCCAGTCTGCCCAGGAGGTGACATTAAAGGTAAACAAAGCGGGTGGGAAATGCTACCATCCTAACATGCTGACCTGCAGAGGAGTCAGTTCCAGCAAAAACATCTCTGAAAATGGTGGTCAAACTCAACCTTCTGACTATCATCTCCAACCCCTCCCACCCCAACAGCAACTGTGCTGAGTCACAGCCACTCTGCCTGGCCTGAATCACTCACACAGTGCTTTCTGTTCCAGAGCCATTAAAGGATGCTGAGTAGGTGCAAGGTGGGGCTCAGGGCTGTCAGTGATGTGCTCAACAAATAAGGGTAGGAGTTCCTCACTTGGTAATAGCCTCCATGTCTTTCTTTCCTGTGTGTCCCCTAAGTCCCTTCCGTGCTGCACAGCCACATGAAGAATCAGGACCGCACAAAGAAGCAGACCACACAGCAAAGTGATTACGGCAAAGCCTACCTGGATTTCTTAACGATCTTGAACTCATTTACTCCTTCTCAAGTAACAGAGTACCTGCAAAATGTTTCCTACACAGGTAGGATGAGGTCTTGAGCTACTCGTTCATGAATTTACAGGTTATAATACATCTCTTTACATCAAATAGAAATTATTCTAACTTCCAGCCACAGGAGTTAAATGTTCACAAAAAGAAAAATATTGCCTCAAAAATATCCATAGTTTTTGCTCAAACCTAAACCCATTGAAAATAAACTTTTCTTGAAAGAGGACCCAGTAACTATATCTCCACTTATTAAAAAGTAAACAGCTTTCCGTTCCTTTCTGATCTTACTTACCTGTGCTTGAATTGTTCCTGAGTGACTTTTTCTCATAGTTAATGGTTTTCTCCAGTGGCTTTTTGTACTGTCTCATAGTTTTGTTTTACTCAGTGTAATCTTTATTTCCTGTTTGGTGGTACTTTTCTGTGACAGGCTTTTAGGGTAGATGAGTACCTTCACGTATCACGTACTCAAAGAGAGTAAGTGTCATGTTGGCTCAGTCCATGTAACAAGGACTTCTCCCAGTTGGGGGCCTAGTGACAAGAATCTACTTGGGAACATCTCAGGGGCAACTGGTCACTGTGAGTGTATAAAGTGTTACCTCAGGAATAACAGCTGGAGGAAAGGAAACTACACCTATCTGACAGCGGCCTCTACGCACCCAATCCTAGTGTTTGTGCCCTATATCACTCCTCATTTTTGAACAGATGGCCCAATGCAGACATTTATATAAAATATATGCATATACCACCAAACTAATGTATTATTATTAATGTATTTTAATGGACATTATAAAGCAGGCAAAATGTGAAGAAGAAAATAAAGAGAAACATAACAGAGGTTCTACTATTTCTCCCTGTACCCAGTGGACCATCTGGTTCACCCTACCTGTGCTCTAGGCTATGTGGTGGTCATGGCCTCCTTTTGTGCCCTGTGGTCAGGCTTGAACTTAGAACTTCCACAAGCTACTCAGCAACCCTCCCCCTGCTCTTGTTGGGTCCCTAATTTCTGTTTACAGCCACGATAAGAAGAGCTAGCTCCTCTGAAATCCTTGCTGAAACCTTTTCATTCACAGCTCTGCTGCCCCACGCCAGACTGAAATGCTGCTGGAGGCAAGACTGAAAGGGGATGTGCATGAATGTGTTTCTGTGTGCTTTGTGTGTGTGCATGTGTATATATGTCTGTGTGTGTGAGGGAAAGGGGTATTTTCCACCTTTACAGCCTGAGGGCTGATGCCCCAAAGGCACCTAACAGAGCTTGAGTGTTGGGTCTCAAGGAGGTACCAGAGACAGACGCCCTGCCTCTCTCTAAGGCAGAAACAGAAGTCTGTATGTTCCATAGGGAGCTCATTCCTGCTAACAGATGTTCCTGGGCCAATCTGACAGCTCAGAAGGACATAGAGGGGCTCCTTGAAAGGGTCACTGCTCAGACCTTCCCAGGACACAGAGCAGAAGTATGCAGTGTCTTGAGACTGTTCTTCAAGTCTTTTGCCAACTTTGGTTCAGGTATATAAAACCATCATCTGAATTTTGTCAGGGCTCTTTTCACCTATAGGAGCCATATCTTTTTGACCCTGTGTATTGAGTATTTTTGTCATTTGGAAACAGATGTGCCTATCTGCCCAGAACTCATGATAGAGATGGAGCTGTCCCTTCTCTGCCTGCGTGAAAACCATGGTGGCTACTGGGCCCCTCTTTCTGTTGTCTGTATGTCTTTTGCAATCAGAGTCTCAGCCATATTCCTTAAGGGTGAATAAAAATTTCGTAGTGTGCTCTCGTAGCCTCTACTCCAATCAGATCAGTTTTCTCCAAGATCCCTAGGCTAAGCTGATCCTTCACAGAAACACCTTTCCCCCATTGGGCTTTTCTCCCCAGACAGCTGAGACACGACCTGTTACCTGACAAGGCAGCTTTAGGGCTGGTCTAGGATTTGGTTTCTTCTTAGCTGGCTTGCTTCCCTGGTTTCCTTGGGACAGCACTGGGGGCAGGCACCCCAATACTCAGGCCCTACAGCCTTGCCGTTTTACACTGACTTGGTTCATGTAGGATCTGCTTCCAATTGGTTCTAGTTTTCTTTCATAGCTTTGCTTTAGAATGGCCTACTCATCAATGCCAGCTGTACCAGAGGCTGAAAAGCAAATAAGAGGCTCCCTTTGAATCTCCTTCCTTGAAAGACAAAATTATCTGAAATCTGCTTTTTGGAATTTTTCAGCTATGACTCCCTCCCTATCCCTTTCTCTAATTAAAATTCACATGAACATGGCTATTCAAAGGCTAGTTCTTCCAAGGGTGTATTCAGTATTGTTAAAAATGTATTTATTTACTTATTCAATCAGCTTCATTGGTCAAATTCCTATATGTTCACTTGACACAAAGATACATAAAAAACAAGTCCTCCTTCTCAGGGAACTTAGTGTCGGGGTGGGAGACAGTGCATAGTTATCCTAGCTCTGTAATCAAAGTACTCTTTAGGTCCACTGGAAGCCTGCAAGGGGTACTCCCAACCTTGTGAGTTGACATTGGGTTAGGGAAGGCTGCTCAGAGGAGGCCTTCTTTAAATGTCAAGAATGAATCATGTGACAAGGAAAAGTCAGGCCATCCCTAAGCAGAGGGAATAGCATAAACAAAATCACGGGAGCTTAAATCTGCATCTATACATAATAAATATGGATACTTGGATTATGACTGGCAACCTTTTGGAACATTATTTAAATTGACATTAAATTTGACACATCTTATTTTTTTATTAATTTGTGCCAAACATGATTCATCTTATATGTTTATCTTTGGTGTCAATTTTTTATTTTTTTGCTTCTCTTAAAATCACCTCTTTGGTATAAGATTGAAAACTAGAGACATTTTAGACTTAAAACAAAAAGGACTGAGAATAGCAAATATTGACGCTATGAAGCAATACATTGCTGGTAGTTGTACAATAGTATAATCACTCTGGAAACATATCCGATGGTTTTTCATGAAGTTAAACATATATCTACTCTGTAACCCAGAAATTCCACTTTTAGGTATTTACTTATGGGGAAATAAAATACATGGGTCCACAAAAGGACTTGTACAAAAATGTTCAGAATCATTGTATTCTTAATAGTCACAAACTGGATACAACCCAAATCTCCATCATAAACAAACTGTGATATACTCATATGATAAAATACTACTAGCTAATAAAAAGAATGAATTCTAAGAGGGGCAAGATGATGCAGGAGTGAATGGAAGTCACACTGATCTCCTCCCAGGACCAATCTGGAATTATAACTAAACTGTGGAGAAATCACCTGGAACAAACAACTAAAAAAAGCAAGAGAAGACAGACAGAGGAATCACCTCTGGTACAACCTAACTGGTAAGGAGGGTGGTAGAGACTCCAAAAGGTGGGCTGGGTGCCCACAGGCAGTAGCGCCAGAGGGATATTTAAATGGCCGGATGGATCCCGCTGAGAAAAGTGGGGTCAAAGAAACAGCGCCCAATTGAAGGGAAAGGACGAATCCCCAGAAAGACAACTAAATGGAATGTAAGCAGGGATCTCCAGCTTAGAGCACCAGAACCCAAAAAGTACACAGAAAACAGCCAGCTGCGAAAAGTGGCAGGGTTGCTCTCTGCCAGAGATGGGTGGCTGGAGACACAAAAGCCTTATAAAAAGCCAATGCATAAATTTTTATTTGTACCCACTTACCCGGGGCTCCAGCAAAGGCAGGGACAAAGTGGGCCAGACACACCTGAGGGGAGACTGGGGAAGGAGGCTTCCAGGAGAGAACTGAGAAAGAGTAGCCAGTGAGACCCTGGCGCTGACTCATCCCCCATATGGCAGCAGCCATCTTGCTCAGACAGACCACTCCCATGAGAGGCAGCACTGTGAGAGGACACCATAGCCCTGCCCCTGGAAGGCTCTGACCTGTCTCACTGGTGCTTAAGTCTGGCTGCTGAGTACAGAGTGGCAGCCACAGATAGTAGAACTCTGGCTAAAGGCGGTGCAGAGTGACCTAGAGACACTTGAGGAGAGACTGGGGACAGGGTCTTTGGGGAGAGAACAGAGAGAGTAGCTTGTGGGATCCGGTGCTGACTCCTCCCACATATGGCAGCAGCCATCTGGCTCAGGCAGACCATGCCTCTGAGTGGCAGTACCTTGAGAGGACACGATAGCCCCGCCCCTAGGAGGTTGTGTCCTGGCCTGGTGGTGCTAACGCCTGACTTCTGAGTGTAGAATGACTAGATTAACAACTGAAGGAGACAGCCACAGACAGTAGATTCCTGGAAGTCTCGAACAGTCTGCCTAAGGTCAGACTCGGTCAATATCTGAGATCATCAGAGGCAGATCCACAAAGAAAAAATAGTGGACTCCTACCATAGAAGTTAATACCACAAAGTCAGGAGTTCAAGGCAGATCACTTAAAGAAGCAGAAGCCAAAAAGGAAGAGTCTCACAAATAATGGAAAGACAAAGAAACACTGCCCAATCAAAGGGAAAGGAGGCATCACCAGAAAGAGAACTAAATGGAATAGAGGCAAGTAAACTATCAGATACTGAGTCCAAAACAAAGGTCATAAAGAAGCTCAATGAACTCAGTGAACTCAGAAAGAATTACCAAAAAATACAGGGAAACTACAAGGAACTTATTGCACATTATATCAGCATGAAAAAGGACATGGAAACTATCAATAAGAGGCAAGAGAAAATAAAGATGACAATTTCTGAGTTGAAGAACACAGCAGAAAGAATCAAAAGCAGGCTAGATGAAGCTGAGGATTGAATCAGTGAGCTGGAGGACAAGGTAGAAAAAAGCTTCCAGAAAGAGCAAGAAAATGAAAAGAGACTCAAAAAGAATGAAGAGGCATTTAGGGAAATGCAGGACAACCTAAAATATAATAATGTCCATATAATAGGGATACCAGAAGGAGAAGAAGAGAAGGAAGGGATGGAGAACATGTTTGAAAAAGTAATGATAGAAAACTTTCCTAACTTGAGGACAGAAAAAGTCACACAAGTCCAGAAAGCACAGAGGGTCTCATTCAAGAGGAACCCAATGAGGCCCACTCCAAGA